CTATCCCCTTATGTCTTTCTTTTTTTTTTTTTTTTTTTTCCCTTTCCCGGGCTGATTACGAGCAGGCAGTCGAGTTCGCGCTGGTCGGAATCGCGGCCTTCCTGATCGTCGCCCGGATCTACCTGCGCATCGGCCTCCAGGGCCTCCCGCTCAACGCGAGCGACCTCATCGTGTGCGCCGCGTGGATCACCTGCGCGGCGTTTACGTCTTTCGACATTGCGTATTTCGACCTGGACGTGCTACGCCCCGACGTCGCCTTCACCCTGCAGGGGTATGACGGCACATCTGACAAGATTGAGTTTGTCTGGAAGGTGAGCGAGCGCGCGCGCACACACACACACACATACACACACACATACATACACCGAGCCAGCCCCGATAGGAGAGGACGGAGAGGGGTTGTGTTTTATACAGGCATGCTAACCCGCGGCTTCGTCGGGCAGTTGCAATGGGCCAGCCAGTTCGCCTTCTTCACGGCGTTTTACCTGTGCAAGGCGGCGCTCTTGACACTCTACGCTCGTCTGTTCCCGCCGTTTATGAAGACGCGGCGGAGGATCCTGTGGGCCACGATAGTATACTGCGGCTGCGCTTACACCGCGACCATCTTGACGACATTCTTCATCTGCAGACCGCTGAGAGGAAACTGGTGAGGCTCTCCTCTCTCTGTGTTGGCCCGGTCTGCCCTCGCTTCTTCTCAGGAGGCCGCCTTTCCTGACTTGTCTCCAACAGGGTTACCGACCCGGCAGTAGCCTGTCCTGCGGACATTTATTTTCGTCTCTTCCAAATCGCGTGGGCGTTGAACTTCGCCGCGGACATTGCGAGTGAGTCTCGAAACAAATCAGCCCCCTCCCCCTCCCCCTCTCCGTATCCCCCGTCATCCTGGCAGAGACGGGTCTAAAGTGTGCATGTTTCTAACAGTTGACCTACTTTCCCTAGTTTTCTTCCTTCCTTTCCTCGTGCTATACCGGCTCCAACTGAAGCAGAGCGTCAAGATCAGCGCCTACTGTACCTTCCTGATAGGGCTCATCAACCTGGGAGTCACGTTGGCACGGGTATTGGGCATCCAGCTGTCGCCTTCGCGGGGGAATCTCCGGTCCTTCACCATCATCGGTACGTTGAGGAGGGTTTCTTTTCCGCGAACCTCCCCTCCGCCCCCTGATGCTTCCCCTTTGTTGGGACCAGGGTCGGGTCCCCATTCTGCCCTCGACTAGTGGCTGGCTAACAAACCCCAACAAACAGAGCTCTGGAGTGCTCTCGACGTGAACATCGGCCTTGTGATCGCCTGCCTGCCACCGCTGCGGCCCTATCTGTCGTACAGTTGGGGGACCCGCTCGTCCCGCTCGTCAACCGAGACGACGCCGAAAGAGATCGGAGGCCGTTCCGGGCTCTCGGGGACGACGTTGCAGCGCGCGCATTCTGGCGACGAGGCGTCGTCGTCGAGGAGCGAGGCGCATAGTGAGTTCGTCGCAGTCCGAATCGCGGAGGAGGGGCACTGCGACGTCGAGGCGTTCGCCGCGTCGAGTCCCAAGGCACGGGGCCCGTATCACAGCATCTGCGATTGAACGAGAGGGCGCCCGGCTAGGCTGCTGGGGTCTGCATTCTCGTGTATTTTCTTCTCAGTCTCTCCGGCTCGGACCTAGTATATAAACTTTTAGCGTAGAATCAAAATCGACACCGGGGAGCGGGCCGGTCCTTCCTTTTCACCAGAGTAACACGATTGATTTCCTTGGCGCCAGGTCTTGGTCTGTGATGTACGCCTATAGAGTCGGGAAGATTGCGATACGTTCTTTATCCACGTGGACCAACATTACAAACAAAGCATTATGGAAATGGGACCAGCATGGAATGCTGATGATGCTGGTGGCTTGGCGTAATTAGTTGGCTGTCTCCCCGGTCAAGTAGTAGTAGTAGTAGTAGTAGACACGATGGGGGCATCCAGCTTTCCCCGGAGCCTTGGCCCGACGACTCCGCCGTGGCGGCCGGTGTGGCAGGCGCGATCCAGGACCTCCGGAAGGTACACTTGGACCTGCCTTCCACGGGGAGGGAGGTACGGATACCTAGGTTGGTAGGTAGGTAGGTTCAGGGAAGGTACACTGACCTCCCCCCCCTCTACTTCTACCTCCGCCCCCCTGCATCGAATCAAAGCTGTTTGGCGGCACCGCTTCGCTTCTGCAATCCTTCTTCGACCGCGTCGCAGTGATGATTTTTCGTTGACGACACACCACCCGAAGGCCACGAAAATTCTACCAGAAGATTCCAACACAGGCGACCCACGAGGCCGAAACCAAAAACACGGTGAGTGCTCTGATGGCGGTCAGTCCCCTGCCCAGCGTCGGGGGAGGGGAGCACACTGGCGATACTGCAGAGAGAAACTTTGACCGACGCGAGAGACTATGCTCTAGCTTCCCGGTGGGCGCCGACGCAGCCCCGAACCTCAGACCAAAGATTCCATGTATGATTGGGCTGCATTCGGACCCCATTGCTCCGCACGATGCCATGGGAAAGCAGTGCGTGACGTGCAGAAGAGCTTGGCAGCGACGGGATCTACGTCAGTCCTGCAATCCTCGCGAGAAACACAGCCGAGCCCAGTGCTATTCCTCGTGCTGCTGAGGGAGCGGGAGCGGACCCGACCAAGCAAAAAAAGATACGGCGGCATCCGGTGTCACAGAGTGCCATTCTCTCCAAGAAACCTCTGAAAGCCAAAATCATGCAAGCGCATCACCGATTGAGGGAGGGGGGGGCGCCCAGGTCTGCAGAGCTCGAGGATGAATGCGCACGCAAAAGGCCACTGGCAAAAGGACGTGACATCGGGCCAACGGTAGGGGACATCTCGAGCTACTACTGCCCGCCGAGGTTTAACCTCCCTCCCCTAATGGTGCACGAGGCGACCGCCTTTCGAGAACACGTCCGAGAGTGACGGAAAACATGATCCGAAGGATTTGGACGAGTTATCTAGCACGCCGAAACTCGCCGAGACCACCCCATATGCATGCACCGGGGTCAGCGCCTCTCTGGCAGTACCAACCGTCCCAAAAAGGCGAAGAAGGGGACGTCCGCGCTGGCGGGATCGTACACCAGGAAGAAGAAGAAGAAGAAGAAGAAGAAGAAGAAGAAGAAGAAGAAGAAGAAGAAGAAGCCAGAAGATGCCCGGCGTCGAAGAACCAAGACAGTCTTGTGGAGGCCGAGGCTCCCTGGCCCTGTACGGGCGGCTGTCTCGCATCCAAGGTCAAGCGACCACAGAACAAGGCGGCAGCGCACGACTTTCGCCCAGTGGTGCAACTAAGATCGTCAAACTAGCATACACGCCGTGATTTCAAAACTCGCTGGGGCCTAGGGTACTCCCTCCAACGTAACGGTGAGCTGGGTTTCGTTTCCAGGTTCCCATGGTGTTGAGAAGATGGGATCAACATGGCTTCCTTCCGTCGAATGCCATGGGCCGTTGGCAAGGACTGCCCATCGTGCACGGCGCCCGGGAGTGTCTGTGGGGAGAGGCAAGCCAGCGCAACGGCCCAGAAAGCGCATTTGATGGCAGTGAGCGTCGAATGGCCACCATGCTCACGGTATGATATCGAGACACGTCAAACAGGTATCGACGACGCTCTTTCCTCATTCCTCGATGACATGTTTCTTCTCTTCTTCTTGATCTCCTGCTTCTGTGTCGGGCCGAGGTGAGTTGGAATGGGTGAGCCTCTCGTTCCCGGGCAACACGGCGGCTAGGACAGATTATTAGTTGGGGGCTCCCAGAATACCACAGTCCAGACGCACTGCTCTTGCGGTTCATCTGGTCTGAGACTCGTCCGAGCCCCGAACCCACCCAAAAACTTGCGGGTGACTGACTGGCCGACAGTCAAGGTCCTCCCTGCAATAAACACCCCACGATGATGTGCTTGGCGTCAGATGGAGCCCATCCGCCCGCCCACCAGCGAGCGACGGGGGTCAAGGGGGGCTCAAATACAGCCCGGTCCGTCGTGCGGCCCCGCTGAAATGGCTACTACCCCTTTGTTGTTGTTGTCTCACACAGTCTCCTGAAAACCGGACTCCACTACTGCACAGGGCCGCGTTGAGTTCCGATGCAAAGGTGCATGGGTAGGGGGTATGATCTGCGCAGGGTTCATTGGACGATGCATGCCCCAAGCAGACTGAGGACTGAGGACTGAGGACGAGGCCGGTCTTGGGAAGCATGCGTTCGGGGACGCGATGCGACTGTTGGGTTGCTGATGCTGATGCTCTATCACATCAAAACGCGCCGGAAAGCCAAGCCAGCCCCCCCGGAGTAAAAGAAACGCAAAATGGCGCCTGCGCCCATTGCACGGCTCTCAAAATGAGACGTCTCGCTCTCAGAAGAGCCACGAGGGCAACCCTCTTCCACCCTCTGTTTCATTGCTTTGTTTGGAATTTCAGAGTTCGTCGGTTTTCGTCTGGTGTCGGTCGTCCTGCCTCATCCCCGGCGATCGTCCTGCCATCTGCGAGTTCTCCTCTCTCATCCCAATTCCTCGCCTCGGGATCGCCGTTGTCAGTCGCCATTCGCGGTTTTGAGAACCTGGTCACGGCTTGCACGTCGGCCTGCCCGTGTCTCCCGTCCAGCGCTCCATTGCGTTCCTCCCATGAATGATCATCGACCCGACTGAAAGCGGACGGCCAATTTTTCAGATCCGGAAAATCTTCAAGCAGAGCAGCATACCCAGACCAGAATCACATCGACACCACCGCCGCCGCCACCACCAACCACCTCGAGCTCATTATTGTGTTGGGTGTACCCTCATTTCTCACCTTCACTTCCTCGGATTCAGTCGTATTGGTTCCTGGAAATTTAGAACACCGTGTGCCGTCTTAACCCCGTTCCAGGACGCCGACGTCCGTCTTGGTCCAATACCACCTCCCTTGTGTCATCCCGCCCTATATAGATACACTTTTTTTTTTTGTTTTCCTTTTCGCTTTCTCGGGCTTTTTACTTCCCGTCTGAGACAGCCGCCGCGTCGGTCATTAGTGCCAGGTCTATTCATTTGACTTTTGTCCAATCTTTGCTTTCTTTACTTTGCTTGCGTCTTTAATCAATCTCCCCTTGTTTCCCCGTCACTGGCATGCCGGACAATCTCCAATCGAAAACCTAAGAGACGAGGGACACCACCAAAACACCACCACCACCACCAACCGCGTAAGAGAGGAGGGGATAGGAGAAGAAAGGATACCACCCAAACACTGTTGAAGGGACCATGCTGAAGGCCGTTCGCCCGCTCCCCCAACTTCCATCTTCCCATCCCGCCGGTCGTTGATCAAGATATCTCTCTTCCCGTCTGGCTGTCGATTTCCTTCCCCTCGCCGTTCGAGTCCTGGAAAGACGCAGCCCGCTCTGCCCCGGCGGCCAAACCACCACCACCACCACGACCATGGAACGCCCCCACCGTCCTCCGCCGCTCACGATCCCCCCGCCAGTCCAATCCCGAACCCGAATCCGACGGCCTCGCCGTCCCAACGCCCGTCAGGCGCGTCAATTCAAGCTATGGCTCCTCCGAGCTCAGATCGCGAATGACGTTGCCCACGTCGTCGGCGCCTCAATACTGCTATGGATCATGTCCTGGTTTCTCTACAACGTGCCGCTCCCAATTGCAAATCGCACCGGGTAAGTCATCAGCTCCCTTTCGTCTACTCGCGTCCATTCAGGCAGCACCCACTAATAGCGATACCGCAGCCCAGCCGCCATCGCCCTCCTCGTGGTTCTCTCCGTCGACGTCCTGCTTGACGCCCGCTCCATCGTCCACGCCCATGACGCCTGGCCCGGCTGGGCCCTGCTTCTCCGCCTCATCGTCGGCGCCTCGGCCATTGTCGTCTTCTGGGTCTACATCGCCCTCGGCGAAGTCTTTGCCCCCGGCTTCACCTACTGGGACATGACCGAGATGCACGGGCGCGTGCTGGCCTACATGTTCCTCTGGGGCATCGGCCTCTGGGACCTGCTCTTCGTCGTGTTGTGCCGGCACTGGCTCGGGAAGGAGGTCAAGCGCTACGGGGGCCGAGCGCGGCGGGCGATCCGCGACCATCGCGAGGAGACCATGTCGCCCGGCGTAAGCGCCCACCGGCTGGTCAGCCCGACGGCGGAGGAGCCGCCGAACCGCATCGTCACCATCATGGACGTCGAGGCCGCGAGGCCCGTCAACGAGGACGCGGGCAGCGGCGGCGGGAGGGTGAGCCTGCCCCCGCGGATGGGCACGAGGCGGGTCAAGAGCAGCATCAGTGTGAGCGTGAACTCTATCGTCACGAGCGGGACGGAGACGACGGACATGGGGATGGTGACGGGGGCCCGGACCGGGACCGGGACCGTCATGAGGAGTGCGTCGCCGCCGCCGCCGCCTGTCTTCCTGAGGCCGGCATGACGAGGGGGGGGACGGGCCGGAAGGCGCGCACAGATCGATGTAGAGACAATGATACGTGTACTATATAATGATAATCAATGATAATACACAAGATAGACCAAACCGTCGTACTGGCTTGCTGGGGGGAGATGGAGTGGGCGTGGACGGAAGTGCGACGCTGGCGATGCGACGCACAGATCGACACCTTCCCCTCGACCTCCTACTCCGTCCGGTGGTGTTGCGTTTACTTTGCCGTTTCTATCCGCCCTACGTCGCCGGCCTCTGCGAGCCGAAAAGCATGGACCTTTGTCCCGGCAGTTCCCCCCTGTCGTCGTCGTCGTCGTCGGGTGGGTGGGCCCGCCTGGATTTGCCGGGATATTTGAGGGAGGGGAACGTGTCGAGTATATTACTCCGCCGTCCCTCCCCCGGGGGGGCGTTACGGCAATGCAATGCACGGTGTACTTTGTAAGAGAGGGTGATATGCGGGTAGGTTTATGATGAAAGGTGCAGCAAGGGGAGAAGGGTGGGGAAGCTACGGGTATCAAAATCTACAGAAAAGAAAAATAATATCACCGACCGTCCTCGGCAAAGTCCTTAATGGCCCTCCTCTACAAGATTTGTAATAATCGTTGGGCTCGGGCAGGGTGCCAGCCCGGATGGCGGGTTCAGCTCGGGCGACGCGAAGACGGTTGCGGGTCGTGGCCATGAGCTCCTTCAGTGAGGGCTGTGTTGTGTTGTGTGTGTCAGGCAGGGGCCTGGTTTTCGCGGCCGTCAGGCGTCGCGAAGGCGTTTGCTGACAGCGTTATTGCTTCCTGCCCGGTGATTGAAGGCAGACAGACTGAACTGTGCGGGTCTTCCCCCCCAAGGGCTTCTCGGCCAGGTACTTTTCCTCCAGGCGGTTTGATCGAAGGATCCGTCAAGTCTTGTCGGCCAGGAGGGGGGGAACCTTTCAGTTCTTTTCTTCTTCTTTTTTTCTTTACGCAAATGCGTATACAAATACATGTAGGGCCCCCCCGTGACGTTGAATGTTTGCCCGCCCCCCTTCCAAAGCGTCGACGGCGTTCATCGCCGACAACACTCTCCGTTCCCGGACCGGGTCCCGCTTTCTTTTTTTCACGCCGCGAGAAGCTCCACGACCTGCCTCCCCTGGTCGTCGACCATGAAGTGGCTAAAGGCCTCCTCGTCGTTGTCGTCAAAGAGCAGCGGGTCCTCCCTCTCGGGCTTCAGTTTGGCGTAGAGGCCGTGGCCGGCCTTGGGCCACGACTCGGGCAGGGCATCGTCATCGTCATCGCCGTCACCGTTGTCGTCGTACTCGTCCTCATCATGTTGCTGCTGCTGCTGCTGCTGCTGCTGCTGTTGTTGTTGTTGTTGTTGTTGTTGTTGTTGTTGTTGTTGCTGTTGCTCGCCGTCGGCCCCGGCGACCCCGGCGACGGCGGCCGCCGCAGCGGGCGCCACGGGCGTCGTCTTGAGGATCTTGCGCACGCCGCCCGTCTTGGAGCGCTGCTTGGGGACCTTGAGGCGGGCGTGGTTGCCCTGGCGGTGGCGCTGGGGTTCTTGTCGTGGCTGGGTCGATGGGGTCTCAGTGTTGTGTTTCTCATCGAGGGGGGGGGGAGGGGTTACATACGGCTTTTGGCTGCACCCAGTCCGGGGACCCGAAGATGGGTAGGTCCGGGTGCCTCTTGGAGACGGAGACGAGCAGGTCGACGAGGAGACCCGGGTAGATGTCATTGCTGAAGATGAGCAGGTTGACGAGGTCGCTCTTCTTCAGGTTCTCAAAGTACTCTCTTCTCTGTGACAAGAATGACGATTAGCAAAGGTCTTGTGTGTGTGTGAGTGTGTGTGTGTGTGTGTGTGTGTGTGTAAGAAAGAAAGAGAGAGCGCCTGTGAAACGTACCTCCTCACGGCTCGCATCGCCGCCCTCGAACCCGATGATTCTCGAGTCGGGGAACTCGGGCAGCGTGGCGAGGCGCCTCTCCCGCCTGCGCTCGACGTCGTTCTGCCGCCTCCGCCACTCGGCCTGCTCCTGCTTTGCCTCGCGGTACTGCGCGATCTGGCGCTGGTACTCGGCCTGCTCCTTCTCCTCGTCCTCGCACGTGGCGCACCGGAACCCCCCCCCGCCGCCGCCACCCGGGGCGAGGAGGGCGGGCTGGTCGTGGCAGAGCTGGTGCCAGGCCTCGCCGCAGGAGACGCAGGCGACGATGAGGTTGGCGTCGGTCCAGGAGGTGCGCTTGCACCTGGCGCACATGGGGTTGCCGTTGCCGTCGTCCCTGGTCCGCTTCCGCTTCGTGGGCGGCCTGGGCATGGGCCGTCGGAGGATCTCGGGTTCCGGGTAGGCGGGGGTGAGGCTGACGGGTCTCCGGGGGCCGCCTTCGTGTTCGGCCGCGCGCTTGCGCTTCGTCCCGGCGGGGGGCGGCGGGCCGAGTATGGTTGTTGAGGGGGAGGCGGCGGGCGTCGCGTCGGGCAAGTAAAGCGTGCGAGGCAGGGAGGACAGGTCCACGGGGCAGTGCAGAGGAGGAGCTTCCTCGGCGGCGGTGGGCGTCGCAGGGGGCCGTTCGTCTGCTGGTGCGACGAGAGCGGGCGAGGATGGTTTGCTGTCACCGGCGGCCTGGTGGAGACGGCCCAGGACGTATCGCGAGGTTGCCGGGGAGAACTGGCGTTTGTAAGAAGACTGCGCGGAAGTCGACCGTTTCGCCTTGTCGGCCCCGAACACGGCAGCGCGCTGAGTCTCTGCCGGGGCTGGTGGTGGCTGGGCCGGTGCGGCGCCAGTCGCCGTTGTTTGCGCATCCCGAGCGGCGGCGTGCCGAGTCGTCGCCGACGGCGTGGCTTCCATCTCATCTCGGTTCTCATTTTCGACCGGTCTAGTCTCATCTTTCCTTTCTGATGTGAGCGCCATCGGCGTTGGACGCAGCGGCTCGAGCATCCTGAGATGAACGGCGCAGAAACGCAACTGCAGTATGGGTGGATGTTGGGGTGGGCGTTTGTGTGTGTGTGTGTGTGTGTGTGTGTATGACGGAGTGTGTTGGAGACGATGAACCCCAGCAGGTCCGATGTGGCGCCGCGAAGAAAGTCGATGATGGATCCGGGTGCCAATGCGCAACTCACAGGATTTTGATGAAATAAAGTCGAAGCTGCAGAAAGGGAAAAAAAGGTCTGCGGTATTTTCCTGTCCGAAAACATGAGGCAATAAATGTTCAACTACACTTCGCTTTCACCAGAGGCAGGAGAAAGGTAAAACCAGCGAAGTCATGCATGCAGTGCAAGACGCGAAGTCGCGTTTGAAGGTCACGTGCGCCTCACCGAGTGCTGGGACGGCCCCCACTCTTTTGCGGGTTTCGGTCAGCTTCGGTGTAGACTCGACATCCTCAGGGTAGACGGTGGCCGTCAGGACACTACCAATATATCCATTCTATACGCTCTGGCGTTTCAGCCACTTTATTCTCTACCGTGTATACTCTTTGTGGCGCCACGCGTCCTAGCAAGCAAACTCGTGGATCCGGACAAAAGGAAAATGCTGCCAGGCCATGCTCATGGAAAGAAAGTTCCGCGGTGCAATCCCCCCCCCTATCCGACCACGCCGCTGTCCCTCAGCGACCGGATCTGCTCCTCTGACAACCCCAGGTGCTCCCCCAGCACCTCGCCCGTGTGCTGCCCGAGCGTGGGCGGCGGCGTCCGGATCGTCGGCTCGCTCTCCGAGTACTTGACGGGCGTGTTGACCATCTTGATGGGCCCGCACTCGCCGTGCTCCATTTCCACCACCATGTTCCTCGCCAGCGTGTGCTCGTGGCTCAGCGTGCCCTGGACGTCGTTGACCGCCGCGTACGGCATGCCGCGGCCCTCGAACACGGCGAGCCACTCTGCCGTCGTCCGGGTCACGGTGACGGCCTCGATGAGCGCCTCGAGCTCGGCCCGGTTGGCGACCCGCTGCGCGTTGGTCTTGTACTTGGCGTCGTCGCGCCACTCGGGCCGGCCCAGGCCCTCGCAGAGGATGCCGTAGAGGCGGTCGTTGCCGCCGCCGAAGAGGATGTCGCCGTCCTTGGTCTTGAAGGACTTGTACGGCACGATGGACGCTTTTCAACACGGGAGGAGGCGTCAGTCAGATCTGTGTCAATGAGGGGAAGGGGTCGCGCGCGCGGTTCCAAAACTCACGATGAGCGGTGCCCCACCGGCCCGAGTCCTTCTCGCCGCTGATCAAGCAGCTGCTGGCAATGTTGGTCAGCGTGGCCGTCTGGCAGTCGCTCAGCGCCACGTCAATGTGCTGGCCCCTGCCGGTCCGCGCGCGCGCCAGCAGCGCGGCCATGATGCTGTTGCTCGTGTACAGGCCCGTCGTCAGGTCCGTCACGGCGACGCCGACCTTGACGGGCTCGCCGTCGCGGCTGCCGGTGATGTGCATGAGGCCGAACTCGGCCTCGACCATGACGTCGTAGCCGGCGCGGTCCGAGTACGGGCCCGTCTGGCCGTAGCCCGTGATGGAGGCGTAGACGAGGCCCGGGTTGATGGCGCGGAGCGTCTCGTAGTCCATCTTGTACTTGCCCAGCGTCCCGGGGAGGTAGTTCTCGACCAGGATGTCGCACTTGGCGACGAGCTTGTGGAGGATCTCGGTGCCGCTGGGGTGTTGGAAGTTCAGCCCCAGCGACTTTTTGTTGCGGTTGACCTGGTGCGCCGTTCAGTCTGGGCTGCTCCTTTCGAGATGCGACGAGGGGTGGGAAGCTTACGGCCAGAAAGTATGCGGACTCGCCGGGTCCTTCCTTGGATGAGCCGGCCTTGTAGGTCGCGTAAGGCGGTCCCCATGCTCGAGTATCGTCGCCCCGTACGGGGTGTTCGACCTTGATCACCTCGGCGCTTGGATGCATGTCAGTGAGATGGGCCCTCTTCTCCGCCCCTTTGCGCGCGGACGACGATGAAAACAAACCCGAGGTCGCCCAGAATCTGTGTGCAATAAGGCTGTCGGGTTCTTCTATGTCAGCGCCACGTTGCCCTTTGGTTGAAGGGATCTCAGTCGGTTTGTGTTTACCCCGGCCAAGACTCTCGTCATGTCCAAAACCCGATAGCCGTCAAGCGGCAGCTTACTGCTGCTCGGTTTCGACGAGTAGCAGCGTCGCCATGCGCCCGCCAGGCGCGAAGGCGGGACACGGCATCGCGCCGCCCGCGACGCCATGCAGAGCGAAACTCCAAGTGATAGATTGCCCATGCTCTCTCTCGTGCGCGTTCGGACGACTGATGGCAGCCGTTGCGGGGAAGGTATGTTGGGGTTGGTTGAGAGGTCCACCGGCATCGTCGAGGGGGGGGGGGGCGCGTCTTGGCTCCTCCCTCCAGCTCCGACCCCGGTCTAGCTCCGGCCCGGTTGGCGGGGATGCCGTGGTAGGCCTCGGCATTATCCTTGCACCAGTGGGGATACCTTATGTAAGTGTGCACGGTCCAATCGTAAGCCGTTACCTCTGTGAAATCATGTCAGTGTCCGTTCTTTGAACTGTTCATCATTGATGTTTCTTATAAGTCATGTCTATACACGTCTATATGCATACTGTTGCAATAGAACTCCATTGAAAACACCAGTCTACGTATCCACTTTTATCCTCTAAGCAGTTCCCGCTGGTCTACTCGGTGTCCGTAGGGCTTGCGGCCAGGCAACGACGGTATGGCTCATCCCAAGACCGGATTAGCGCACATCTCAGGAGCGGCGCAACGTTGGCACCTGCAGCGTCGCACTGCGGGACTTGCTTTGAATCATCTCGGGCTCCGTGGAGGAAGATTTAGTGCTCTCCTGGCGCTGCCCAAAGGAACGCAATCCGGATGGGTCGGTATACCGTCTGCCTTTTCGTGGTTGTTGCGATGAAGACGCCGCCACGGACCCCTCTTCTCTCGATGTGGGCGAGCCTGGAGCCGGTGTTATCGAGTCACCTTCACTTCCCGAATGGGACTCGTTCGAGTCTCGGCTCATGGACAGGCGGAGGTTACGCGTACTGAACTGGTCGATCGTCCGGGTCAAGTTGTCGTTGCGTTCTCTTTCCCCCGGTATCTGAGGCCACACGCCGATACCAAACTCGTTGGGCCTTAGCGGCCGTTGCATCTTGTTGCCGAAGAACCCGTTGACCTTTATGAGGGCGTCGGAGACTGTGCGTCTGTAGCCCTGGTCCTGGTCGAGGTCGGTCAAGCCAGAGATGGACCTGACGAGAGAATCATGCCGGACGTCAATCATCTCTGCCTCGGGTTCATTGGTTCTTTTCCGGGTCATGTGGCCTGGGCTCTTCGGTTCTCCTGGGGCCCTTTCGCCTATGCTCGTCACGACTTCACCGGCGAGATAGACGTACAAGGAGCCCAGGGCAGCCATGCCGGTTGCGAGGATGGTGCCCCATTGACCTGTTGAGCAATCTGCACGTCAGCTAGCTCAACTCGGAAAAACACACACAGGCGTCGGGAAGGAATAGAGGCGCACCAATGCTACCGATGGGCTCGGTATGGTAGTCCATCTGGGGGCTAGAGAAGTTGATCTCCCCGATAACGATGATGGCGATGACGGCACCAGCAAAAACGGGTATTTCCACCGCGTTGAGGAAACCTCTGATGCTGGCGTTGACGCTCTTCATGTTGGCAAAGGTCGCGCCGTTGGCCCCCGGGATGGGGGTGTCGGAATTCTCCTCATCGTCCGGGGTTTTCCTGATCTTGACCAACAAGGACACCAAAGAGAGGATGGCAGGCACGCACTCGGCGGCGGCGAGGAACATGGAGGCGCCGAGCGGGAGCGTGGCGGGTACAGGCACGACGTATATTTCGCTAGCGGCCTTGGTCCGGAGGGGAGACCATGGGCCAAGCTGCTGCGAGCACGTGAGCCCGCACATAGCAGTGCCGTAGGGGAAGCGAGCCGGGTCCTGAGAAACGAGGCCGGCGGCATTGTCGGAAAAGCATGGCGTCGGGTTGGCGCGGTAAAACTCGACGGCTAAGCTCAGGAGACCTTGGCAGGGGCGTTAGCACATGTTTGCTCGCGGGCCGGGGCGCGGTGTGTTCGTAGCGTTGCTTACCAGCGAGGATCAGGCCGGTCCACAAGAAGATTATGTTGCGTCCTCGTTGGTGGGAGTAGGTGGAGGATAGCTTCACGGTGACGGGCCCGGCCAGGATGCCTATGGAGCAGTACTGCAGGGCGCCGTAGACGTCGAGATCGATGGCCCCTGTAGGCGCGGGCAAGATTAGGTTCCAGATCCCTGCAGGTTACAAGGTAGAATAAGTGTATGGACGGAACCAACGCACCATCAACGTGCAACGCGGCCAAGAAGATGCCATGCACAGCCGCGACGGCAGGCAAAATAAGCGCAGCGGCGAGACCAACGTTTCTGATCCACTCGGCCTTCCTGGCGAGGACGCAAGTCGCTACGAGGGCGTAATAGCTGGATGAAACAGATGCCAATGTTAGTTCGCAGCACTAAAGGGGGGAAAAAAGCTTAATTGCCGAGACTGGGGAACAAGGGGGGCAGACAGATAAGACAAACTCGATCAGAACACGCGCGTATGTGGAGAAAGCTTGGCAGGCTTGCGCGTCAGGCCGACTTACAGAACCCTCTGACCGAGGCCATACTGCCCCGACAAAGGCCACGAACAGATGACCTGAAGGCAGGGCTCGCCAACAGAGGCGGCGCAGGAGGACGACGAGACGTCGTGGGCGGACGCGTCTCGGCCGGCGATGACGTGCACCAGCGAGAACAGAGGAAAAGGTGCCATCGAGCCCCGAGGTCCGGTCGTCAGTCGCTCTCTCTCTCCGGTGAGACAGACTAGTGGACTGCCGGCCGCCCTCGCTCAGCGGACTGGATTGATATGGGTCGACGACGAAGGTTAGGAGGAGGTGGTGTCGAGGGCGAGAATGTCCGCCGTGGATGGTGGGATAGTTTAGGCTGCGGGACGGCGGGACAAGGAACATCAATCAGAGTAAATTCCGAGTCTTTTTTTCTCTCCTTCTCTCCCCCTCTCTCTCTCTCTCTTTCTCTCTCTGTGAGCAGAGTTCCAAAACATGCGGTGAGAACGAGTTGCGGATGTGGCACACCCTCTCGAGATAAGGTGTGGGAGGCAGACGGAGGTTCTTCCCGTCATGCCTCATTTCTCTTCAGACACAAGGGCCTGACTGGGGGGGTTGGTCGCGTGATGCTGATAGGGAGGGAGGTGAGATGCCTGTTGCCTGGGCGAACATTGTTCCATTTTTGCCTTGAAAAGGTCGCATTTCGACAGAGCGTAGGCAAATACGAGACTGAAAACAGGAAGGTGAGATTGTTCCATCAAGGCGGTTGGTTTCCCGACGCATTCAGCAAACGGCGGCTGCCGCAAGCAGGACCTTGGTGTCGACGGGGGGGGGAGCAAGAGTCAGGAGATGAAGAGAGATACCAAGAGAGATACCAAGAGAGATACCTAGAGAGTGTCAGAGAAAGACAGAGAGAGACAGAGAGAGAGAGAGAGAGAAAGCGTGGCAGTCGACGTAAGCGGTTCCGGGCGTCAGAGAAAGGTGTGCTGACGTGTGTTTGGGGGGTTGGGTCGACGAGGCGATGAATGGGTGATGTGCTTCTGTGAAGGATTCGATTCGCTGGACGGCGGCAACAAGCAAGAAACGTCGACGCAACGTTAATCCCCAAAATGCAAAAGCGGGCCGCAGGCCAATCAGCGGGGGCCCGGCAACAATCTACAGCGGACTTTGCTACACATACCAGCTAGCGTGGGTAAGGTGGTTAGTTCTACCTGCCTACCTGGCGGGGGGGCACTACCTATTAGTGTACAGCGCCGACTGTTGTTGGCTACAGAATACAGACAAATTGACGCATGGATAATGGGCCTAAGAGACCGAGGTATGTGGTGTGGGTATGGTATGGGTGTAGTATGGTACGGCATGGTATGGTACCTATGGCGGGAATGTACGGTAGGAATCCATGGTATGGTATGGTATGGTATGGTAGGTATGGTACGGAGTATTGTATGGCTATAGGCCCCGCTCTCTTTTTTTCTTCTTTTTTTCGGTTCCTTTTCCTGAAAAGAGCGTACAAAGTACATTACACAATACATACACATACACATACACATACACACACATACGGACATACACACGCACATATACGACATACACGTAAAAAGAAAACATCATCGTGATATACTACTTGTGCACTTTGAGCAACGACACATTGTACAAACCACTCACTGGCTCCAAATCCCCCCCCCCCCCCCCCCCCATCAACCACCGCAGCGGTCGAATGAGCCCCTGCGAATATACTCGCCTATCATGGCTTCCAACACGACTACCGTGAATACCATCAGCACAGAGACAGATCAGATCAGGGAGTGGAGGTCCATCGTCACCCTCATCGCATTCGTCCTCGCAAGTACGTTGCATGCATACATATCTTATCCGCTTATCTTGCATCTGCCAAAGATCCTTTCGGCTAACCAACCCCACCTCGGTGTGCAACAGATATCGCAGTCCTGTTCCCCTTCCATGTCCCAATCCATGTGCCCGTATGGGTTGTTCACATGGCCTTGGACGGCCTGGCTGGGCTGAGAGTCATCCCCCCAAGGGACAAGGACTATCACCATGACCACCGGGATCATCAAGCTCGAGCCACGGGACGCAGGCGTTTCGTGCCCTTCAGGTTCCCCATCGACTCTGTCACCGCTCCCCTGATCGCCGACCTCTTCCTCCTCGCCATCCTGGCCATCGGCAGGCAGGAGGTCCACGACGGCACCATCGGCGCCAACGGCATCTTCCCCATCGACATCATGGTCTTCTTCATCTCTCTCGCCTACATCGCCATCTCCATCGACGCCTCCGGCCTCATCCGCTACCTGGCACTCAAGGTCCTCCAGTGGGGGGGCGAGGTCGGCCACCGCCTCTTCTTCTACCTCTACGCCTTCTTCTTCTGCCTCGGCACCTTCATCGGCAACGACCCCATCATCCTCTCCGGCACCGCCTTCCTCGCCTACATGACCCGTGTCTCTACCAACATCAAGCACCCCAAGGCCTGGATATTCTCCCAGTTCTCCATCGCCAACATCGCCTCCGCCATCCTCGTCTCCTCCAACCCCACCAACCTCGTCCTCGCCGGCGCCTTCCGCGTCAAGTTCATCGAGTACACCGCCAACATGGTCGTCCCCGTCGTCGTCACCGCCATCGTCCTGTTCCCCTTCCTCCTCTACGTCGTCTTCAACAACGAGGGCCTCATCCCTTACTCCATCAAGATGCGCGAGGCCCCCGAGTCCGCAATGTCCGCCCCCGTCAACCCAAACATCCCCATCGCCCGCGGCGCCCCCGCCCGCGACGAGGGCCTCCTCGACGACGAGAACACGGACCAGCTCGTCGAGGAGATCATGAACCCCTGGCTCGACAGGGGGGGCGCCGCCTTCGGCGCCGTCGTCATGTCCGCCACCCTCATCACCGTGCTGACCATCAACGCCGCCGGCGTCAAGGCCACGCACGGCCAGCGCTTCCAGGTCTACTGGGTGACGCTGCCCGCCGCCTGCGTCATGCTCTCCTGGGACCTCTGCTTCGGCTGGCTGCGCCGCAAGGAGACGCGCGCCATCGCCAGGGGCATCCACCGCGACGAGCCCAGCCCCGAGCACCCGGACCTCGAGCACGGCAAGGAGCCGAGCAAGCCTTCCGGGACGGAGATGATGCCCATAACGCCCGCGCCCCCGTCGCATACCCGGCCGCATATCCACGTCGAGACGGCGCCGGAGACGTCGGAAAAGGAAAGGATGCGTCTCGCCGAGGACGGAGTGTCGCCGGTGGGCCGCGACGTCGACACGGACACGCCCAGCTCCAGCGCCCCGCCCGCCGTCGCCTTCACGCCGGCGGCCCAGGTCTCTAAGGGTGGCGGCTGCTGCGGCGGCGGCGGCGGCGGCGGTGAGGGCAAGGCGAGCCGTGAGATGTCGTCATCGGCGGGGCTCTCTGGCAACGAGAAGGGCAGGGAGAACGTCAGTGAGGGTCGGGCGTCGGCCGGCGGCCAGGCGCCCCCGCGGACGCTCGTGTCGGTCTGGCGGGACTCGCACCGGTGGCTGCAGGAGACGTTCCCGACCGTCATGGCGGTGATCTCGCACCTCCCGTTCCCGCTCGTGCCGTTCGCCTTCGCCATGTTCGTCCTGGTGCAGGCGCTCGTCACCAAGGGCTGGGTCCCGGTGTTCGCGTACGGGTGGGACCACTGGGTCGAGAAGACGGGCGTCATCGGCGCCATCGGCGGCATGGGCTTCCTATCGGTGATTCTCTGCAATGTAAGCAGCCCCCCCTTCTCCCTTTTTTTTTTTTTCTCTTTTTTTTTCTTTTTTTTTTCTTGTTTGTACCTGATGGCATGTATCCCACGGTAGGGTTGGTTGGGTTCGATAAAGCTGACAAGAGTCGGATCCAGTTCGCGGGCACCAACATCGGCACGACGATCCTGCTCTCGCGGGTGATCCAGGCGTGGGAGCAGATCCGGCGGGAGTCCGGGGTGGCCATCAGCGACCGGATGTTCTGGGGCACCGTGTACAGCATGGCGCTGGGGGTCAACTACGGCGCCTTTAGCACCGCCTTCAGCGCGTCGCTGGCCGGCCTGCTGTGGCGCGACATCCTCGGGCGGAAGCACATCCACATCCGGCGGATGGAGTTCGCGCGGGAGAACGTGCCCATCATCACCATCTCCATGATCGTCGGCTGCACCGTCCTGGTCGGGGAGATTTACCTCATGCGGACGAACGCGCCCTATCACCTGTCAGGCGGCGGGCTCATCTGAGGGGGTCGGAGATTCTTTCGATTGTATTTTTACTCTTCGATTCTTTATGGACCTGTTATGGGCCTGAAGATGGGTGAGGGGGGACGGGCGTTATGTAGTTATGTATTTTAATTTCTCCCCAAGACACCGTTAATAGATGAGTTGAAACGCCGTTCTGTCATTCGACTCTTGTGTGTACACAGACATTCTTCGTCCTATTTACCGTGAGAAGGCAAGTCGAGACGGGCTCTTGTCGATTTGACGTCATTTGGGTTTCGACGATGACTGAGATCAGTAACATGCCAACGCCCATGCGCAGCCCTTCAACAGCCAAGATACTGGGCCGTTGACGAATTTAACCGCCTCGTGGACATTTCTCTCTCTCTATCTCTCTCTTTCTCTCTCGCTGTAGGCTCACACTATGAGAGGATACGTCTCACAAGATCGACTCACAAGAACTCATCATGAATGAAACCCCCCCTCCCTCCGGGCCGCAGCAGCCCGCTCCGAGCCCCGCGCGGGAAACAAGAAGGCGAATTTAGGCTTTGTTTCTCTCTCCCTCTCTCCCTTTCTCTCTCTCTCGGCGGACGGGCACAGCACGTAGGCACAAAACCGTCCCATCATCTCCAGACCCTCTACAAGAGCGGTGGGGAAGGGGGGGGGGGAGGGGGGGGGGGGGGATCGACCTTCACACAGCGGACGAGCGCACGGCAAAGCAAGGCGGCAAACGGGTGGGAACGTCACCATGGCCCGCAGCCGTCGTCCGCCTCCCCGGCTGTGGCTGAGCTGGGCTGGAGGCGAAGGGGGGGGGACGGACGCAGATCTCCCGGGGGGGGGGGGGGGGGGTGGAAACGACAGCGGTTGGAAAGCGTGAAAGCGCGGAAGGATGTGAAGAAGAAAAAAGAAAAACAAAACAAAACAAAAAAAAGCCTTTTCTTTTCTTCCCCTGCCCCCCTCCGTGTCAGTCATTCCGTGCGTCGCATCCATCGCCCTGTGTGGGAGGGAGGTAAAAGGTCTTTTGCTCCGCTCTGCTGCGCCTCGCGGCAGCGGCACGGCACGCATGTTTTGTCGTTTTTTGCTTATTTATGGGATCCAAAAGAGCCGAGAAAGGAAGGTCGTTAAGAGCGGGACTTCTTCAGCGGATGACACGGGGGCGGAGGTCGGGTATGTATGTGTGTATGTATCCGAATGTCTGCACTGAGCAAGGGCAATAAGCGCCAACCCGCGACCTGTGCCGCCAATATGGGGTTCGTGTCAGCACTGTTCAACTCCCCCCCCCCCCCACGGGTGGCGTCGCGGGAGGATCAAGAGACGGGGGGGTTCACGGGAAGATCATCGTGTGTGTGTCAGCACGATATCACGCTGACTGCATGCTTCAATGCTGTGAGCCAGCATGCCTTGGTCTCTCTCTCTCTCTTTCTCTCTCTTTCTCTCCTTCTCCGGCGGGCTGATGGACGGGGATTTCTCAGGTTTTTTTTCCCCTCTTCCATTTTGAAATCAGGCCGATCCTGCCTCGGCAACCCCTCTTTCCTCCCCTTCGTCCGCCGGTGTCAAGTCGCACGATGCGATGCACGATGCCGCGAACGCACCTGAGGAGTTCAGATGCTGATGGCCGGTGAAGCAGTGTTTCACCAGGGCTGCAAGATCATCGGCCAACAGAGTCCGTGTGCTGGATCTGGGGGTCCCTTGGGGTTCTGGAGGGGGTTGAAAGACGCTGTAGCTTAGGCTCTTTCCTCTCTCTCTCTCTCTCTCTCTCTCTGCCTCGCCATGCAGCGCAATGTTCGTTGTTGAGTCTGGCTAGCAAGGCACGGGTCGGCTGGTCCGGTGCCGTCCGTGGCGAGCTTGTAAGAGAGGGACGAAAATCCTCCCGGCTTGGCGCACCAAAAGTTGTTACTCTTCTTGACTTGCATCCATACCCTACATCGGACCTCGAAAGTACGCCGCATGCTGCGTACAGCCCCAAATCGTACCCGCGACCCATGCCCATTCGTCCGCCGAGGCAGCGCTGTTGAGATGCTGTATAGTCGCAGCGGCCAAGAACTCGCACAGCCTCTGAGGCATGGATAGATGGCCGGGCATGTCAGCAACAGCAGGCTGCAGTCACGACGACGGCGGCCATCCATCAGATGAGTTGTGAGCACGGCTTCCTATCCGTTCTCCAGACGGCGGGGCCACCCTTCCTCGTCCCGTCTCCTCCCGTTAAGAGGGGGGGGGGGTTCGAGATGATGCCATCCGAGACCGCTGACGCGCAGGGCAAGTCCCGCAATATGCCATCCTGAGTCTTTTCGTATTGTCCCCATCGGGGGTGCGCATCGAACGGTGCCCAGTGCGGGTGCAGAGTCACTGGTGCTGTTTTAGACTGTTTTTTTTTTTTTTTTTTTTTTTTTGCATTCAAGGACCCTGGGGAAGATCATCTCTTGTGAGGAGGGATCCTGGCTCCATCCTGGGTTTCTATTCTCCCACATCTGGACCTTTTCACTATACCATCACTTTACCTGAGAAGCGTCCCCGGGCGGGAAGAGACCATGCAGGGGGGAGGGGACGCTGAAACGAACGCACTGGGAAACTAGTGTATAAAAAGTGCGCTGGGATGATCAGTGCGCGAGCGCGCAGGGAAGAAAGACGATATAAGTTTGCTTGAAAGGGGGGAAACCCCATCTGCCCAATCTACATCGCACGTGGTCTCTTCGGCCGAGCGGGCTCTCAAAGGGAAAAGGTAAAAAACGCGAGCAAAACACGCGTGGAGGGGGAGGAGGGCCATGAGATGGTAGTGAGTCCCGCTGAAAACCACGTTTTCCTTGTGCTTTTCTTTCATCGTCCGAGGCCAGCCCGTTAGAGGGGGCAGGCGTTATCTTCTTCTCCTTTTTTTTTCTCTTTTTTTTTTTTTTCCTGTTCCTCAGCGGGGTTCGAGGCCAACGCCATCACCTGCTCGGCTGTCATGGCTCGAAAGGGCGTAGGACGGCCGAGCTGAACAACAGCGAGATTTCGATGGGGGGTTGCTTTTTTTGTCCTCTTGTATCGAGGACTGGCTCAACCGTCCAACGTTATCGAAACATGGAGCGTGCATCGTTATCGACCGCCGATGCGACCCTCCCCATCTGCAGCTCACGGATGCCGCGGCCACGGCGGATCTCACTAACACCCACCGGGGGCCGCACCGCATCTATTTGGGGGCGGGGGGGCCTCAGCTCCGCCTCCCAGGAACCCTGGGTGCGTTGGGGGGGCTTCTTGGTGCTGCCGGTGTTTGTGGGACAAGGGCGAGATGGAAGTTCTCGTCTCGGCTCGGCGAGATGGTTCGATCGTCAGTCTTGAGGCTGGATAGAAGCGGTGCGTGGCCGATGAGCAGCCAATTATATGGTTGGAGCGCTAAGATCAACGGTAGTTGAGACAAATACATGGACTGTCCCGGAGACTCGGACAGGAGGCGGCGACATATGGAATAATGGAGGAGGAGTTGGACGAGCCCAGGTTTCCAAGTCGGGAGGTTGAGGATATAGTTACAGTTACAGTTACAGTTGCACTTAGACACGTCTCTTCCTCTTCCGCTTCCTCTTCCATGTAAGCCGAGGTCCACGACCGCCGAGCGCCCTCTTTTCCTTATCTTGGTCTTCTCCAAAGGAGAGGCGACAGCCACAACACGAACCTCTAACGCGCGTGCACACGGCCCCCCAAGGCAGACAAGAGATGGGTAGGATTGGGGGCAACTTGTACGTACGTACCGGTATACGATCCAACAGAGAGGCACAGGCAACAGACAAAACACGCCAGGAAGAGGAGGGGGCATTTTTTGGATTGCACTAGAGAAACCCGGACACCACTCATTGGTCCCCCACGCGGCCGGGTTTGGTAGGAGTGGAAGTGGTTCCCTGCGCTCCGGGACAGAAGATATAGAGGAAGCGCTAATAATAGACGCTAAACGACCGTGTGTGCAACGAACGGCAAATCTGTACATGCGGCCGCGTCGCCGCAGCTGCCGAAGCGCCTTATGGGAGACCCACGGTTCCCTCTTGCTTGCGCATGCTTGCCCTGTTTCTTTCCTTCTGTCTTTCTTTCTTTCTTTATTTTTGTTTCTGTTTCTGGTTCCCCGCCCCCTAAGCCATGCTCCTTGGCGCCTGGGAACAACCCCTCCACCCCCGCTGTATACCCTGCAGAGAGAGAGAGAGTGTGTGTGTGAGACGCCCGATCTGCCTCGCAACATATGCTCGCGCAAGGACTAATCAAGGCATGGTTGCTGCATTGGGAGCTGTGCGCCGAATTCTGCTCTTGGAGATGCTGCCTCGAACGGGGTTCGGGGCATGCCATAAAGGGCATATCTGGTCCCTCCTCGTCCTATTAGCTTCACCCGGAATCCCCATCTACACACGGTCTCTCCAAGCACACAACGTTATCTTTGCGTCCGCATACGATCCTCCAGTGCTCGGGCAGCAAAGAAGGAACCTCCAGCATAAAGGCGTTGTAAAACCCACGCTTGGGTGCAGTCGTCCGGTCCATCATTGACCTCCCGCACGCACCCCCCCCCCCCCCCCCCCAAATATACCAACCAACACATCTTACCCGTCCACGCCACATAAACTATCACGGCATCAACTCTCCAGATCTTCACTCAGCTACGACCTCCCCGAGAGCAAGGCCTAGCGAGAACGGTTCACGGGCGGACTAGGGAGTCGTGCTAGTCTCGCTGTCAACAAACCAACATCCTCGAGGCCGCACACGCACGCCAATATAAATACCTTGACCGAGACATGGCACCTGCCACCTTCGAGAGAGTACGACGAGCAGCAGCAGGAGCAGCAGCAGCAGCAACAACAGCAGCAACAACAGCAGCAACAACAGCAGCAACAACAGCAGCAACAACAGCAGCAACAACAGCAGCAACAACAGCAGCAACAACAGCAGCAACAACAGCAGCAACAACAGCAGCAACAACAACAACAACAACAACAATATCACCTACACCGACGCCGAACCCGACGACCCTCGGCCCCAGTACCACCGCCCTCGTCGTCGTCGCCGTCGTCCTCTGCGCCGCGGCAGCCATCATGTCGGCGACGCTATTCTACCTCTTCGACCGCAAGAAGCACGCCCAGTTCCGCGAGGCGTGCAAGCGGGACCCCTACCTCACGCTCAAGGAGTTCTCGCGGCGGCGCAAGCTCAGCGCCGTCGAGCGCCTCGAGGAGGAGGAGCTGCAGCGCAGCATCATGATCCGCAAGTCGCTCGCCAGCCGCGACCCCTCGAGGCGGAGCAGCTACGAAGATTTCAGCCTCGCGAGGATGCAGCAGAACCAGCACCAGCACCAGCAGGAGCAGCACCAGTGCCAGCGCCACCAGCAGCACCAGCAGCAGCTCCAATACCGACTCCAGCAGGAATACAACTACGGGGGCCGGCCCGTGTCGGTCTGGATGCCGCGGATGAGGTCCGCGTCCGAGTTGTCCGCGTGGTCCTCGTCGGGCTCGTCTGCGTCGTCGATGCGGCACACCTACACCGAGCCCCATCCCGGCGTCGAGGTCGATGTCTCGCTGGCCCCGCGCTCGAGGTCGCCGTCGCCGTCGCCGGTCCGCACGCCGCGGGTCAGGGTGGTCGTGCCGCCGCCCGCCGTGTCGGAGATGGAGGAGATTTCCTCTCCGGGACTCTCGAGGCCTTCGGATGCCCCGGTGCGCCTGTCTTGAAGACGGGTTCACCGAGGCACGAGAGGAGGTTATGATGATTTGATGACGACGAAGCCCTCATGATTAGCAACGTGGAAACTGGCGGTGGGGGGGCCCCTGGACTGCCCTGGTGAAGAATTCACGTACCTTCTTTGCTTATTTTCCTTTGTATTGATACCCACAACCACAAACCACGACGGAACACACACATCAAGAAACATACATAGCAATTACTTATAGTGTTTATCTATCTCCAACGTATCTATTTTATATTTACATGTATACCTGTACTCTGTAGCTTACGTACCTGCCTCAGGTGAACGGCCTATATGAGCCTTCCTCAGTTGGAAAGCTTAGATGGACCAAAAAGTGAAGGAGCCCCACTTGCTCACGGTACAGAACCCACATGTACGTACCCACCAGATCCACCCGTATCCGTACTCCACTTATACTCGAACGGTATTCGGTCCCATTTGCTGAGTCATCCAGCTACCTGCCACGGCTGCAGCAAGTAAAGTCCCTATGCGGAATCCGAAACTCAGCCTGGACGTTTTTCCCCCCCTACAACCCACCTCTCTCAACGTCACTCGCTCGCCCGTACGAAGAAAATCGTCTGCTTCCGCCGCAACGAACCCTCGAAAAATTCGTCCATCGACTTTTTTCTGAGCTGTCTTTGCGACTGCCGCATACGAGCTTCTCTTCGAGCCGACTGCTCCGCGACCTGGCACTCGGGTCCTTTGTCTTTGTTCGCCACTCTCGGACGCCTTCACTGGTAGAATCGGTCGGCGGGCTGCACGGCAGACAGAGAGCCTATCTTCGTTCTCATCTCCTCCTCTCCCTCTCCCCTTCTCTCGTCTATCGCGCCTTCCGTCAAAAGGCTCGCTTTATTGGTGAGAGAGGATATTCCTGCCGCAGGTCAGGAAGTCATGGCTCACCTTTTTTTCTTTGCCTAGTTAGGGTAAACCTTCTCGAGCGCTTTCGTCACTCCCCCGCTGAACGAGTTTGACTGCCGTTCATCAAGAGAGTAAAAAGTGACCACAGCCGCCCGAGAAATCTCTAAACTATATTTATTCCGCCCTGCTGTCTGGCGAGGCATCGAGAGCCTACCTCGGTTCGGGACCAGCTCTCCGCGTCGTCTTTTGAGGCGGTCTTTTTCTTTGACCAAAGTAGCCCCGTCACAAACACCGCCAAGCTGCATTCGCCGCTCTTTGTTCAGCTCGCTACCGATCTCCTTTGGACACAAACGAACAACCCGGCGAAAGAAGACCCCACGACCTATAAGGCCGTAGTCGAAAAGCGCAAGCAACTCCGACGAAGAAGAAAAGAGCTGAAGCGCCGTCGCAAGGTTTTCGACGAAGTAAACAACATCTACACAGCCAAGCCGTACAAGCCCAAGATGCTCGGCCCCAACGGTGCCGCGACGGACGAGAATGGCAATTCCGAGGGTTTCAGAGATGATCTCAACATGGTTGTCATGTGCCCCGACTGCAAGGAGTACCCTCCCCACTTGGTAGAGGAGTTCTCCTCGGGCGACATGGTCTGCGGCTCCTGCGGCCTCGTCGTCGGTGAGCGCATCATCGACACCCGTTCCGAATGGCGTACATTCGCCAACGACGACCAGGGCAACGACGACCCCTCCCGTGTCGGTGACGCCGTCAACCCCCTGCTCAACGGCTCGCAGCTCGAGACCACCATCGCCTTCGGCGACGGCAGAGACTCGAAGCAGCTCGCCCGTCTCCAGAACAAGTCTCAGAACGACAAGGCTAGCAAGTCGCTCATGCAGGCCTACAAGGAGATTGGCGCCTTTTGCGATAGTATCAATCTCGGCAAGAACGTCTCCGACGCCGCCAAACACATCTTCAAGCTCACGTACGACCACAACTTTATGAAAGGAAAGCCTCAGGAGGCTGTCATCGCAGGCTGCATCTTCATCGCCTGTCGTCAGACTGGTGTCGGCCGTACCTTTCGCGAGATTTTCCAGGTCACTCACGTGTCCAAGAAGGAAATCGGCAGGGTCTTCAAGCAGCTCGAGTCGTTCCTGCAGAAGATCAAGGAGGAGAACCCTCGTGGCGCAGGCTCTCTGTCCAACCTGGACGGCTACAAGGCCAGCGCCTCCACCAGCGCCGAGGACCTCTGCACTCGCTTCTGCTCGAATCTCAACTTCCGCAATGCGCAAAAGATTGAAAACGTCTCGCGGGCGCTTGCACGCAAGACGTCGAGCGTCTCGGAGCTGGCCGGTCGTTCGCCGCTGTCCGTCGCCGCCGCGTGTATCTACATGGCGTCTCATCTCATGAAGGAGGTGAGAACATCCAAGGAGATCGCGTCGGTGGCCGGTGTCAGCGATGGCACCATCAAGACGGCCTATCGGTTCTTGTATCAGGCCCGCGACAGGCTGATCGAGAAGGAGTGGGGTGCTGACAAGAAGGCAATCGACGGCCTTCCGGTCAACTAGAAGGTGCCCGGTTGTCCTTACAAGTGCTTTGGCACGCACTGCCCTCACATGTTTGTGGATGAAGGCATCCTTTTCAAGAGTGAGGAGTGAGGAGTGAGTCGACGCCCCGAGACGCTGTCAGCCGCAGTACGTCTCCGGCGGCGGCGGCGGCGGCGACGATGATGGGGACTCGGCGGCCTCATGCAGCCGGCTGCAACACGGTGCCTGAGTGGCGATGGCGATTACGGCGTGCCAATTATTTCTTTCGGGCGTTTGGGGGTGGTTTCCCTGTGCCCATCGTCTTAATTCGGATCGGTTCTAGTCGCCTGGAATGGCGCATTCTCGCAGCTCTTGGAAGATCAGAGCTTTAGGAGGTCGATCACGGATGGACAGAATTCGATTGCTCGCTCGCTTGGTGAAGATTGGAGTTTTTTTCTTGAGAGTTTGATTTTTTTTTCTTTTTTGGGAAAATTACAGGGAAAAACTAGGAGGCAGCTTCATTGCATAATATTCCCCCCCAGACTGCTGCTACTTGGGTTGCCTCGCCCCAAGAAAACAACACACAGAGATAGAAGACAGAAGTACAAAAATCTCATGCTTTCTTTTCAAACCAGCGAGCGCTACGTCATGTTGTGAAATGAAGGGGCGTATTACATTCATTACTAGGTAGATTCCGGTGGCTGCATCCACCCATTCTCTGCATCATCGTGAGATTTGTGCACAGTGCGTACGAGACCAGTGCCAATAATTTTCCATACGTGTGAGTCATCCAATCAGGACGAAGCTGGGAGACGCCAATTTATCTTTTCCCGCTCCCAGGGACATACATGCTAAGCCTTGTCCTTCGCGTCGCGACTCCATGTCAACCAGCGCCCATTCGCCATTCAGCCTCGCACACACACACACACACACCAGCCCATCCTACGCACCGCACCTACAAAAACCGCATTGCAACTCCGGCATTGATCGCAAACTCTCCCAACCTCTGTCGACCCACAATGTCTGGACGCCGTTCCCGTTCAGGCAGGGCCGCGGCCAAGCGCGCCTCTGCTGCACTCCGTACGTACAAGCTTTTCCACCCGTGTTCGTTTTCCCTTGTTTGTCGCACATTGAAGCTCGGGGTGGGGTTGGTTGCCTGCGACGACTGTCTGCAAAGCTGGGCGCACCAGTTGATACTGGTCTTGTTCTCGACGCGAGATGCTCTTGGGTCTTCTAACTGCAGGGCATCTCTCTCTCTCTCTCTCTCTCTCTCTCTCTCTCTCTCTCTCTCTCTCTCTCTCTCTCTCTCTCTCTCTCTCTCTCTCTCTCAGATGCCGACGTCCTCCCCAGTACCCCTCCTTCAACGACTACCTACCCCTCGGATGGGATACATCGTTTCGCAATATCTTTTGGTCACGAAAATAGTAGCACCATCGCATTACTAACTCTGTCTGAACTCCAGAAAGCACTCCCAGAACCTTCGAGGGCATTGATGACGACGAACCCGTCGCCGAAGCTGTCGAGTCCGAGAACGAGAACGAGCACGAGCAAGAGGCGCAGCCCGAAGACGACGATGACGACGAAGAAGAGGAGAAGGCAAACGAGTCGGGCGAGGAGGAAGGAGGCGACGAAGATGGCGAAGAGGAGCCCGCCAACGACGACGCAGAGGACTCTGAGCCCTCGGCCAAGGAACCGACCCCTCCCGCCGAGCCGGTGATCCGTAGGAAGCGACTCGGACGGCCGCCGAAGAACAAGCCGCCCGGCTGGGACAACATGATCACCGTACCCGCCTCCGAGGCCGACACCCCGCGCCGGAGAGGCCGCGGTGGATGGCGCGGCCGCGGCGGTCGTCGGCCCGCCCCCGGTCAAGCCCCCCCGAAGCTCAAGCAGGTCATCGACAAGGAGGGCACCGAGGTCGACATCGTCGACGACGAGTGCGTACTGCCCGAGGACCCCGAGGGCGAGACCAAGGTCGACAAGCTCGGCAACCTCCAGGGCGGCCGCCAGTACCGCTGCAGGACCTTCACCGTCAAGGACCGCGGCGATCGCCAGTACATGCTGTCGACGGAGCCCGCGCGTTGCGTCGGCTTCCGCGACAGCTACCTCTTCTTCAACAAGCACCCGAAGCTTTACAAGATCATCGTGACCGACGACGAGAAGATGGACATGATCGAGCGCAACATCATCCCCCACTCGTACAAGGGCCGTGCCATAGGAATCGTCACGGCCCGCTCCGTCTTTGTCGAGTTCGGCGCGCGCATCATCGTCGGCGGCCGCAACATCATCGATGACTACCGCGTCGCTGACATGCGCGCCGCCGGCGTTGTCGAGGGCGCCATCGCCGACCCCTCGGACGTCTTCGACCCCAACCAGCCCTACAACTCGAACCAGTACGTCGCATGGTTCGGCGCCAGTGCCGTGTACCATACCAACCAGACGCCCGCCGCCTCGGACCCCCTTGCCGGCCTGGCCGAGGTCAAGAAGAAGCGGGTCAACGTGAACGACACCAACTGGCAGTTGGAGCACGCCCGCGCGGCTAGGTAAGGAACCTCCCCTTTTCCCCGCTCATACAAGGCACGGCGGCATCACAGACTGACGCACACCCCAGCGAGTTCAACAGCCGCGTCAACGCCATCCGCATGGCAACGCTGCGCCACGGCGCGTACGACATCCACACCAACCTGATGCAGATGCCGGTCAACACGCAACCGACACGCGCGCGGGTGGAGATCGTCCCGCCGGGCACCGCCAGCGAGCCCAAAAGCGCCTTCCCGACCGTGCCGTCGGCGGTAGCGCGCAACTTCAACGTCGTGGACGTCGTCTACGAGACGCCGCGCGTGCGGGTCCAGTCCGCCGGCCGCCGGCCGGCCGAGGTCCCCGACTTCCTGAAGCCGTTCAACGGCATCCTGGCCATCGGCGACGACCTCAAAGCGATGCTGCCGCCGTCGTGCCGCGCGTCGCTCGAGAGCCACCAGGCCGAGCAGCGGGCGTTCGAGGCGCGCTTCGGCGACGAGAAGGACGCGATGGCGCGCGGCCGGCTGCGGATCGACAAATCGGTCGTGCCCCAGGGCCGGCACTCGTAGGACGACGAGTTGGTCCGGGCGCACGGCGGCGCGCGAGGCACTCCCGACGGCCGCACCGAGTCGGCCCTGACGGCCCGCGGCTGCAACTTCTGCGGCCGAAGGATCCGGGAGTGCGGACACGGGGCCGAGCTGGGGCCCGCGTTCTACGAGCCGTTCAGCGTCAAGCAGCCCGAGGGGCTAACGACGCCGGCCAAGGCGCCCAAGACGGAGACAGTCCAGGGAAGAGGGGGCGCAGCCAGGTCCGAGTCTTCTCATCAGAGGGTCATGTCGGACGTTGGCGCCCAGGGCAAGGTGATGCCATCCGGCTCCCCTCGGGGCAAGGGCAAGAAGAGGGAGGCCGGGCTGGTCGTCAGGCCCGAGTTTCATGGGAACACGGTGATGCCGGGCGGTTCGTGACGCTCCAGCGCATCCACTTTGCATGATGGACTTTGGATGATGAGGTTCTTCTACCCGCGGGGGGGATATCGGGGGGCGGAGTCTTGCTTTTATGTTTACTTTTTTTTTTTCGTTGGCCCGGCGTTTTGGGGGATGGTTGATGGGCTTGTTTTTAGTCGGTCCACGGTTCAACTGGAAGAAACGGCGGTCGGAACCCGATCGCCTGCTGATGTTAATATCTTTGCCGCCCTCTGAGCTCTCCCGTCGAAAGAGTAAAAGGGCGTTGTTGTGGCGTTGTTGTGTTTACCGGGGGGGGCAAGGTGGAGAGCCTGAGGGAGGTCGTTGGGAGGTCTGAAGTGCATGTAGGACTAGGACGATTCCATGAAGGGGCTTACAAGCGATTGCCTACCCCTTTTCCCCCCGTTTTTTTGAGAGTGTATGACGGTACCGAAGCACTACCGCCGCTCGTCCGCCCCATCCAAAGGGCATGTAGACCAATTGGTACAGGCATGATGGATGCTATCGCGTGAATTGCACCACGCCGGCCACGTCCCTCCGTATATCAGCCGGTAGGACTGGGGGCTGGTTGTTCATCGGTTCCCGTGGGGAGAGGTTTCAACTACGAACGTGGTTCTGGCCGAGCCCCCATCCCCCCTCGCCTCACCTTTCTCCTTTGGTGCGAATCGAGGGGTCTGATCTGGGAATCCGTCGGTTCAAGAACAACCTGGGTTTACGAACGTATACAACGAGAAGATAAGCTAGCAAAGAAAAGATGTCCCCGAGTTCCATCCTACTACCTACCCCCCCTTTCAACAACTCGGTCCCATATCTGGGGGGGGAGAGTGGAAATCGTCTACGACGTGGGGAGACGGGTTACTTGACGACCTGGCAGTTAGTCTCAACATCGTGCGAAGACTTGCTGCGCCCAGCCGGACTCACTCGTACCGGCTGTTTGCCCGACCACGTTGGCGTTTGGTCTCTTGATATGTAAAGCGGGCGGGTAACCTACGCAGCACGCAGAGACCATACCAGCAGCTGCCAATCCTAAGGAATTCGTGACTCTTGAAGTAACCCCTGTAACGTAGACCCCACCGCTGGTTCTCGTGTCAGGAATAATTCACTTCGTCACTGATAATAGACGTGGGAAAGCGGCCACATCCCGAGGTTACTCGTCTGGCTTGCCGGGCTGTCTGGTTGAGCGTTGGCAAGTCGGTCTCGAATTGCGAAGGCCCGGCTTTCTTGCTCCTAGAGTCAGGATGTAAACTGACCCCCCCAGCCTTTGTTCCGGCCATCTTCCTTTCTCATTTGAAAATCATGTGAACCACGTGCTGAAAGGACATATGCTTTCCCCCTTAATCAGTATCCCCGTTGGATTTGGCACCGGCCATTTGGTGACTGTGTATATGTTTGTGTGGTTTGCTCGAGAATGATCTCTCCTGAGCAGCGTAGGGTTGACAGCCTCACTCCCCTCTTGCCAGCTCCAAGGCGGGGTTTTCCTACCTGTTTGCAGAAAGGTCTTGCACGGCATTCTGATAACCGGGACATCGGGGACAAGATGATGTGTGGCACAACCGGACGCCAAAGTCATTTCGGACTGTTCTGATGTTAATGTATAAGGTGCTTTCTGCCTCTCACCTCTCTGGATGGCTCTACTGCCTTTTCTGGAATACTTTACGATAGCAGTACCGCAGGCTTGTTAGGTGAAAGGTTTTAAATTGCAGCGTGTTATTGCCTCATCATTGCCACTATCCGCTCACACACACACAGCCGTGCCTCGAGAGAGAGAGAGAGAGAGAAAAACTAAAAACTTGCTTATTCTTCTCGTAGCTAAAAGGTAATGGATAACCAGGCCTTCTATCCTCTGCACCTCGGAAGGGAGTTTCATCTACATGAAGTCTGGAGCTGGCTGCACGCGAAGTTGACTCTGGGCTGCTGGTATCATCGCTGTAACCGCAACCAAGAACGCGTGACTTGTACGAGACCATATCCCAGCACGGGGCAAGCCTTTCGCTCAGCTCTTGAGGGTTATGACACATGTACGGCCTGTTCTGTGCGGTACTTCATTGTCACTCTAGGATAACCGTGATGAATCAGAATCAGAATCGTAGAACAAACCAAGTGAATGGTAAGTCGGGCAGGGAAAAGGGAACCCACCACCTTGCCCCCCCCCCCCCCCCCCCCCAACCTCTGCCCAGTTTCTACCTGGCCCAGAGCTGGCGTATCAGCTGGCTCGTGGCTACACGAGAAGTGACGGTGTTCCATTACACTACTCCGGAACCAGTTCTTGCGACTGTGAGCATCGCCGCCACAACAGCACCCAGCTCCCTCGCCGCAAGAAAAGCCATCACAAACCTCAGCATTTCATCACATCTGCCGTCCATCAAAAGAGGGCCCAAGAGGCCAAAATCAACAGCCGTTTTTTCTCCAATCAGACACAAGCCGAGGGCACTTTCTCCCCCGTTCGCCCCCGTGGCCTAAAAAAAGATGAAGAGAAAAAAGAAAAGAAGCAAAAGAAAACAAATCTAAGGTCCCCCCAGACCCCTAATTACCAGCTGGCCCGAAGGGTAAAACAAAGCAAGAAAATAATCAAGACGACCACACACATAGGTATGCACACATACACTCCCAGTCTCCTTTTGCCCGCGCTTTGTCTCCCTCTCCGTCCAGACAGGCCTCTTGAGGCCACGGGCCTCCGCGGCTCTCTCTCCGGCTGACGCTTCGGGCCGTCGCCACAGAGGGGGGATACGAAGAAGAAAAAGAAAGGAAGAAAAAAAGCCTCGAGTCCGTCAAAGCACACACATACCGGTACACCCCCCCTACCCTCGACCCGACGACACCCGGCGCGCAGCGCCAGATCCCGTCCGAAGAGCACCAGGGTGAAGAGGCCCGGCCGTTCCCAAAACCCGAACGCGCAGAAGCGCAGACGCGCAGCAGCATCCTCCCAGGCTCCAGGTGACAAATATCACAGAGACTCGTAGGAATAGAAAAAAAAAGGAAAGGGAAGGGGGGGGGGGAAAGCCTAGCGTAGCCGCAGGAGCACGACTCGTACCTGCGTGTCATCACAGCTCAGAGACCAGTCACGGCCGCAGTCAGTGACAGTCAGTCACTCAGTCAGTCACGGCTGCACAGTCATAGTCACAGTCATGGGCAGGTATGTGCAATCGTGTTCGTGACCGGGTGACTGGTGACTGACTGTGATTGCGACGACACCGTCGCAGCAAAAAAAAATAAAAAAAATAAAAAAAGAATGAGGAGGAAATCCTTGCTAAGGGAAGTGGCATTATTAGCCAAACATCATCGTGTTTTTTTTTCTTGCCCCCCCCCTCCTCATTCCAGGAATAGATGGGTGGGTGTGGGGGGAGGGTTCGTCACGGACTACACACTTTACTTGCGGACGGCCGGCGGCCCTCGGATGAGCGGAGCCCGGCAGCCGCAGCCGCAGCGGGTGTGAGTCGGGGGCGGCGGCAGCGGCAGCGGGCGGTGGCAAGATTGGGACCGCGCGGCTGGCCCGAGCAGCGAGATGAATGCCATGATCGAAACATCCGTCTTCATGGCTCCCCCCCCCCCCCCCCCCCCCGTCCTTTCTGGTCCACGGAGACCCAGAAACCAGAGAAATGCGGGAACGCATCGTGCAGCGGGAGCCCTGCGTCGTGGTTACCGTGCTTGTGCAGCGGTTTGGATCGGAATACACAGCACAAACACATTCGAGCGCTGACAGGGCGTTGCGTGTCGTAATCTTTTTTTATACCCATGAGCATGGACATTTACATATATATATATACACACACACACACACACACACACACACACACACACATGTATACATATACTTATACCTTTTGCATGCACATGGTCTGTAGAAGTAGTACCTTGCCTCCTCGTCTATACCGCTCTTCCGGTATGACAAGTCGGCGGCGAGAACAACAATCCGGCCTCACTTACACACTTCGTAACGGAGACGAAGCACAGGCTTAGTCACCCCTTTTCCAACCCGGTCCGTCCGATCTCTCTTCCGAAAAGGAGCAATGACCGGACGTCCAAACCAACGGCACGATCCGGCAAGGATGGAGGGAGATGTGCCTCTGTCATCGGGAAACACACGCACGCCGGGGGAGGCATGCAGCAGCCACACATGGCTAACCATCGCTCGCACCCCGGACCCAAAGCAGTCACCCAGCCAAACGCAAACCGAACCGGGCCACACCACCACACCGCATCATACACACACACACACACACACACCATGCGGCATAGCACAACGCAGCACACCCACCTTAGATCATCAACCCGCTCGCAGCCAAGCGTGCGTGAGAACGTGGGTGTACGTTTGCCTGGGTAAGAGTGCGAGATCACGCGCGCGCGCGCGCGCGCCCCCCCTCTTGTCTTTGCCTCGTCTTTGCCTCGCCTCGCAGGACGCGAGGGTAAAGGGGCAGGGCAGGACAGGACAGAGGACAGAAGAGGGCATCTCCAAAACGAGACGAGCGTGGAGTAGAGAAGCCTCCCAACCTTGTCCTTGTTTTAACGTTTTCTGCCTTGCCATCTTCCTGAGACAGTAACCAGACCGCAAGAAACAAATAAAAAGTTTCCCCTCCAAATGGAAAAGTAGCCGCTCGAGAGGGGAAAAAAAAAGCTGAGCCAATGCAAAAGGCGAAAAAGACAACCGTCATCGAAAACATGAACGCCCCTCCCCCCACCACCAAACCCCCTTTAGGTCGTGTCGTGCAGCGCGCGGCGTAGAATCTCCTCTTTCTCACCGCTTGCTTGCTTGCATGGTCGCTCCCGGCAGAATCGGGATTGCATGTGTCATCGTCCGTCGAACAGCAGCGCAGCCGCCGCCGCCCGATACCGCGGATCCCAACGACGGTTTTTCAACGGGATACGTAACCAACGCGGGATGGGGGGGCTGCTCCATGCTTGGCGCGAGGCGCATGGTGGACGACCGAACGGCATCTTCCTTTTTCTTTAGCATTAGAAGGGGCTGGGCGGGGAGGCGCGTTTCGATGTTGATGGGATGATAGATGAATGCCCACTCCGTGGTGGCGACTGGCCATGACCGTCATGGCTGCGGTCATTGTTTTCCCCCCAGCAAGCAAAGGTTGTCGTCAGCCAGACAACCCATTGTCTTGTCCATGACAGACAGGCTCGTCCCGACGCCATGAGGCGGGGGGGAGTCATGGTTCTAAACAGTGCAAGGACCAGACGGTGCTATACTAAATCCAGTGCATGCCCAGAGGTAGCGGCAACACATTGATCCTACATAGTACTTATATGAGTGCGGAGGAGCACGCGCGCACACACACGCATACATCTGCCTGGAGAGGGGGGATGCGGTAAGCGCTTCAACGAATTGGGAGTTCGATGACGACTGATTCCTGACAACGGTACTATCGACGTCGAGGTGGGGGGCGCGGCAGATCCAGCACTCAGCTGCCTGCGGTGCAACGAGGCAAGAATAGCAATAAGCAGTCAGTCGGCAGTTCTCACGCTGACTATGCGTCGATGCTTTGCCAAGATCGATCTCTCTCTCTCTCCGTGTCTCTCTCTCTCTGTCTATCTCCATCAAATCTGATCTCCGAATGCCGTTACCCCAAGGCAGAGAGGTATACGGTGCTTCACCCAAAAAGTCATACCGAGAGGCATGCATCGCCATCTCCTCCCTGACGTATTAGAAGGGACCCGGGAGGATGGGGTCGCGCGACCCTTTGTCCATCACTGCCGCTTTCCTCCGTAGGATAGGAGACACTACTGCAAGTACTCTAGTGTAGAAAGCGCGTGTCCTGCGCGGCGGGTGAGGCCCCGAGTCTACCCACACAGGCACCAGCATCGGCGTCGGCATCCGGGGACTTTGACTCGGGGGGAGGGAAACGCAGCTTTCAGAAAGGGAGGAAGGGGGTGTGGTTGCGTAGGAGCCAATGTCGCTTTTGTTAGCACGGATGCCGGTGGCAACGGACTGCATCATAGCAGGCTCAACCTCGCCACCCTAGCACCGCTTTGAGGGTCATGAGGGGGTCACGAAGCCAGGTCGTCGACGTAAAACCGTGGGCGAAGAAGAGAATCGAACGGGAGCCATCCACCTAGCCAGTTGTCGCCTGGCTCTGTAAGCCTTGGCTGACCCTCACTTACGTGCATGTCGTGTGTCCCATCGACCTAGCCCGTCCCCCCACACAAGACAGGGCAAGGGCAAACTTTATTGGGGGCTTGGTCGCATGGCGGATCTGGAGGAGGAAAAGGAGGACGCCGATGAGGAGGAGGCGGATGAAGAGCCTACACTAAGCTGAGGGGGTCACGGGCCGAGCTGTGGCAAACAAGACTACGTCAAGATGGTTACACTAGCACCAACGAAATGGTGGTGGATGGTGATGCGTTCCGCCGAAAGCTTCGCCCGTGTCCCGACTGGGTGTAGTCGTGCGGAACGAGGCGGGCAAGTTGGGGCCGATTTCTCCCCTCCTCCCCAGGGATCCGTATGACATGCCTCCTGGACCTCTGTTTGGATCCCCGTGGCTCCTCTCCAGGCGCCGACGCGCCCTCCGTCGCCCGTCGTCTGCATATGGGGTGGTCGCAGGTTGCAACGACTGGACTGCAACGCTCCAAAAGGTTCCGAAGGAGCGCGGCATTTTTTCTTTTCACATCGACCGGCTCCACCGGGGGGGGGGGAGGGGCAGGCGGTGCACACCGTCCGCTCCATCGGTTCCAGAAGGCCCGGCCAGTGAACGGCCGTATACCTGCCCAGATAAGGCATTTCTAAGCAGTGTTCTCGTCGTGACTTGAACGACTCCATGGGGCCACGATGTTCTGCAGCTGAGAGAGAGGGAATTTTTTTTTTCTTTTAACGGGGGGGCCGAAGACGGCACCACGAATGGTAACCAAATAGTTCCACACCATCTACTTTTGGCGTTTCGCCTGCGGGGAAATAAATGCGAGGACAAAAGTCAGGAGTCAGTCAACTCAACTGTCGGTCAAGCTGAGTGGGTTTCTTCGTGACTTTTTCGAGACGTACGCCCATAAATGATGAAGCGTTGCTGTACAGCGGCCAACGCCCGCACGTTGGCCAGTACGATCGCATGTAGTATGTCAGATGCGTGTGCGCCCTAGACAATGCATGCAGTGGTACCATATCCCAGGCCTCGAGGTTGTCAGTTTGTGTGTCCGTAGCCCCGACGACAACAACAAGGCTGGTAGCAGGCCAGTCCTCAGTCAGAGGAAGCCAGCTCTCGCGTTAGTAAAGATTCACCAATCCATGAGAGGGCCCTCGTGAGACGTCCCCCCCCCCGAGGATAGCTGCATTTGACCGTACGGAACCATGGGCGTCGGGTGGGTGAGTTGGCTGCGTGTCGTATGCAGACATGCCACAGCATTGGGTAGCCTAACCGTCGAACCATGTAGGTACACCAGGCTCGACCTTCCGTGCATATACTAGGCGGCTGGGGAGGTACACGAGACTCAACTGGACCGGTCTAGCGTTGGGCTGGTGACCGCTGCAGTAGCGCGAGATTGACTGACAATGGATGGATTGCTCTTCCAGCCATCAGATCTCAACCTTTTGAGATTGGACGCAGAGGGCCAGAACGAATGCCATAGCAGGCAGGCATCGGAGGATAAGTACGATATAGGAAGCGGCATGACGAAGCTGCTCTTGTGCCCGCCGGCGTTGGCTGATTGGCCGAGAAATAACTCATAGCGGACGACAGGCCTTTTCTTCGGTCGGCCTACCGTGCCTCCCTATGTCAAAAGTGGTAGATCATGTTCGAGAAGGGATAGGCTCGAGAAGATCCCTTTCAACCACGACGAGTTGAACCGTGATCAGCCTACGCGGACCGGAAATTTCCAGTGGCGTCAAGCCTTTTTCCTTGAACCCGGGAAGAACAGGGAAGAGGGGGAAGGAAAAAAAAAAACCCCTGTTCAAAGTACCTCTCTTTTTTGTTTGTTGTTGCTAATAATGAGGATGTAGAAGCTTGGACAAGTTGCCGCCATTGGTATTTACCCGGCCTGGCGGTCCTGGATTCAAGCCAATCCATCCAACGATGATCTCCAGACTTTGACCAGCATGATGGATCATTCAAGGATCTTGCACGTTGATGTGTGGCTTTCGGCATCGACGTTGTCGGCAATTGCGGTTAGTACGTTCTTGAAATGGCTCAGAGTAGGTACAGTACCCATGAGCTAGGAATACATATTCGTGGGGCCGTACGTGGTATCGCAAAAAGCCACGAGGGGCTCCTGATCGGATTGGAGCCCCCTCTTCGAGAATTAGTTGCGGTGAAGAGTGCCCAATATGCAGGTGATCCGGTTGACGGTGGCTGTTGGCAAGCTGAAAAGAGGGGAAACCATGGTGGAAACGCCAAAACAAGACTTGGAAGATGGTGCCAAAACTGTCCAGAGTTCGGTACAAGCTCTTTTGAGCTGGCGCCCTGATTCAACGGTGGAGATGGACCCTTGAAGCAGGCACGAGAATATTGGCATGGCATCGTGTCGTGGGTCTCGAAAAATCTCGTAGACCTTCGTACCGGTAGTGTTGTTGTGTATCCTAATGTGTGTACGTGTGCGTGTGTGCTTTATGGGGGGACGGACCCTAGGCGCCAGACCCAAGCGACGGAGGGTCGGTCACTGGGTCGGGAGATGAGCTGTCATTCACTCCATGAGACTTCTCTTTCTCCGTGTCCAAGGCAATCAAGCTGTCAGTCCTCGTGAGACTCCATTCTCAGGGTCCAACCGCCCTAGTGGCTTGTAGCGTTGTAGCCGGCCAATGGCGCAGTTTAGAGAAGGGAGATGGATATTCATAGAAACAGGCCGCTGTGTGCCTGGGGAGGAAGGGAGATGGATGGCTGAGGTCTCAGCGAGGCCCCCCCTCCCTAAAGACGGTTGCTGGCCCGCCGGCGGATTGGTGTTGCGTCCTCGTTCGGCGCAGCCGTGCCTCTCGATCCTTGGAACACTGCGACCTTCCTTCCTATGACCCTGTTTTCTCTCAATGCCGTTCTTCTTAAATCATCTCATATCTCATGCGTCGAGCTCAGCCTGTTGACTCAACACCACCACCTTGCTGACGACTCAGACCGGAAGGCGTAGATCGCCAACCCGGGCTCCCTGGCGAAATATCTCAATCGAGGTGGCTGCGCTTGGAAATCGTTCCATGTGTCACGTCCTGCATGGTGATGGAGTCTTGATATTCTGCGCCAGAACCTCTCTAGGGTTACTAAGGTCCACGCGTGTGTGTTCAACACGAGGCAGCGGCCGAGACGAGACATCCTGATCCAAGGGTGCCGGCCACACACACTCTTGTCGACAACATCTGCGGGTGCACTGTGTCGCTCTTGACGCACGCCTGGGGTGTGTGACTGAGACCCGCCGGGCCAACCGGCTGCATTGTCTGTCTGCTCAGATCGAACCCATCTGATAGGCTGAGCTGGATGAAGGAATGCCACACCGAGTCGCCATGTTAGGTTTCCCTACGTCCGTTTTTGCTTTTTCCATCATAGGTATTCGCCCTGACTCGCAGTGGACGCGACGACGCAAGTCTTTCCAAGCTTCGAGGCTGATCAGACTTGTAAGCCAGAGAGAGAGCAGTCTCTTGGTGGAAGTCGCTGCCGACAACCGGGAACAACCTGTATTGATGACCAATCTTTGTTCAAGAGACGCGTGCCAATGAAGCAGCCTCTCTCACCATGATCAGGACAAACAGTAGCTGCCCCGTGCAGGCCAGCGTAACCTCGTAACTCGATACATGCCATAGCGATCTGGCGAACAAACGAATAGAAGCATCGAACTGGTTTCTTCACAACTCCTGATGTAACGGTGAAGCCGTTTCTCACGCAGGGCTGGCAGTTCGTAGATGGTTTTGGGGCGCAGGCTCGGTTATGCAGACTACCTGGCTGACAAGGTCCTGGGGAGATGGAAAGGCTGGTGTTAGGGCAGGAGTCTCATCCAATCAGAGGTTGGACGTTTAATACCTCCAGCCCATTCGGTCTACCGGTACTAATACCCGGGGAATTGGCATTGTCGCCAACGGCAACCACTGCCAGGGCGGCCGGTGGGAGTTCCTACATGTAATTTCCATTTGGATGCCTCGATGCCTCGCGCCAATAGGGACAATGCCTTCTAAAGGGAGAACCAGCCGCTGTACTCCGTAGATCAACCATATGTCATGTCTCACTGGGAAAAGGATGGCGGTTTGTTTGACCTGTCGGTGATGCGGCCCTGTTGCCCCCTGTCCTCGATACGAGACCGGGCGGCACGTGATCGTTGCATTCGTATGAGCAAAGGACGAAGTTGGCCGGTTAGCTCAGCATTGAAGAGAATGCGTCACCAGATCTCAGCCGAAGTGGAGTCCTATATGTTCCGTGTTGTCGGCGGTGCACCAACATGGCTGCACGGGTGCTCCAGCCTTTTCTCACCCCTGAATATCACATGGTCCGGGAGACGAGTTGGTTGGGTTTTCGTATGGTGGAATGACATGAAGGAGAGGAGCACCGTGCACATCGCAGTTCCCTGCATCATGGGCGTCTGGTTTCTCCAGTTTGCGGCCAAGGGAAAAAGGTCGTCGCCACTCGGGAAGCTCGAGAGGATGGCCGTCGCTCAGCAAAACACGGGCAAAACCCGTGTAAGGTCGGTGCCCAAGCCAAGGGAGACAGGCCGTGATCTCGCAGCCAATGAGCAGGTTGAGACCAATAGACCGGTGATTTACTGACCGGGCATCATTCGTGTGATACACCGGATGTGCGGCCGCTGTGATATTTGGACAGCCTGGTTATCGGTGTCGGGGATGTGGCAGAAGAAAACATTTGCCTCCTACCGGAGGCGAGCCGTGAACCGCGAACGTGAGGGCAATGCCTTCCGGGCCAACATCTGGGCTGCTGGGGGCAAGCGAGATCGCCATGGCGAGGGCTGTCAATGTTTTGGTTTGCGTGTGAACAGCGTAGGAGGATGGCAAGCGAGCCAACAGCTGGCTGTTGGCTGTGGTTGCGCGTACGTGTGTGGTTTGGCCATGTGCGCGCGCGTGTGAGATTGGGGTTTCCCCCTTCTTCCTCCCCGGTGTACCAGTCATGTTTGGCCAGTGGGGGCGGTCAAATCGCACACCCTCGAGGGGGGGGGGGGGGGGGGGGGGGGGGGTGATGCTAAAGCAGAGTCGCATCCATGGCGGACATCTGAGCACCGTAAATGGCACGGTGTCCCGGTTTGTGGAGCGTGCGGTATTTCTGGTCGTGCTACCGCAATCTCACCCAACTTCCAAGTTGACACGAATGGGTAGTTGAATCCATGTATCATTGCAGCTTTCGCTGGGTCTTTGCCGTGGGAACAACAAAAGGCAAATGCCAAAACGCCGCGCTTGGCTGGATGGGCCTCGAGTTTCCGCGAGCCAGTCAATTTCATCCAGAGTGCTTCGAGTGCAGGAAGGAATTTTTGTCTAATGAAGCTGGTGCCAAAGTGCCGCGCTTGTATTCCAGGACATGGAATTTGGCCCGGGTCGTTCTGGCCGGAAATGGCTTGGTCCTTCGCTGCCACATTAACTGGGGTGCTTTCGAGGCTGCTTCGCCTTGAAGAGGCAAAACGGAGCAGCACATTGACGAACACTGAGGGCTTCGCGTGTTGTGGGAGAGCCCAGCGGTCATGGCCTGGTGGAGATCCCTCGATGACATGCTGTTCTCCGTTGTCGAAGTCAAAAGCACAGCGGCGAAGGTGAGGCAAATACCATCAGGGCTTTCGATGCCTCTGTTACAGTCGATATCAGTCTGGCACTAGCACGGCACAATGCTTTTAGTAGTGATCGGTACGGTGACGGTGAGTGGGTGCCTCAGCGTGCATCCCGTCGTCATCGGCTGGGAATTTGCTGTGCTGCGACTGGGGAGGTTCAGCGCGGATTGGGCCATGGACAGAGTGAGAGAGACCACCCTTGGGTGGTGACTGGGCCGCAGTGATCACCCAGCAGATCGGATGATGGGCACAGTCCACCGACACAGACTGTCCCTTGCCCTTTGCAGTCGGAATTGCAGGCAACGGGGCGTGACCAGGGGGGAGATCGTTGCCCCCTGGAGTGTCGTTTGCCGAGCCCCGAAATAAGCAGAGCCCGTAGTCAAAGGCGCAGAGGAAGAGATGACCCCTCCCCTTCCCCCCGTCCAGTGTCGCCGTGGTGCCAGGGTGTGCTTTGGTGCGTGTGGGTGAGTCTCCTGCAAAGTCCACACACATCTGGTCCTGGTCTGGCCCGGTTTGATCTGGTCTGGTCTGGTGCGTGGTCTTGGTCAGGGCTGCCTGGTAAGCCCCGCTGGGATGAGATGCGTATCGCCGTACATACTAGTAGTACGTAGCAAGACACTGAACTGGGGACCAAGGCGATGCAGAGGGCGCCGAGGACGAAAAAGGGAGAGGGTGCTCTGCAGAGGCGGTCAGCAGCCAAGCGGCATGGTCATGGATGAGGGAGGAGGACCTTGAGAAGGGAAAAAGGTGCCAGGCAGATTACCTTGGTGAGGCGGATTTGATACGAGTACCGGTACCTGGGCTGCCCGCGACAAACCAGCCTCCCTAGCCCGTATGCAAGGTACAGGCCACTGGCACAAATTGCACAAGGCTAGCCCAATACTGTCGAATACATTTGGAAGCCTTTTAGAAACTGGGTCATCCCAACTTGAAGCCGAACCGCCATTAACGATTTTTTTTTTCTCCCTCCCCTTTCCCGTCGCTCTCTTTTGCTCAGATGACCTGGTGGCGTTTTTGTTTGTTTCGGACGCCAGGGCGTGTTCGACAAGGACTACGGGAGTTGGTATGGAATGGGGCGTTGTGTTGTGTACGGATAGCTGTTCGATGGGAGGCGACCATTGACGGCACGATGCTGGAGACAGAGTCATCCGTACGCGGTAGACCAAAAGCGAACCATGGCATGAACGGTGTAATGTATCCGTTCTTTGTTCCGCCGCGGTGTGTATGTATGGCCGGATGATGTCCGGAGACGAAGACGGAGGTTCGCAGTGGGGGCGTAGGGCGAGGACGAGGGCTACAGGAACGGCGCTGAGCTGTCATTGTTGTTATCGAACTGTGTCAGCGTTGCTTTCTGGCGTGGTGCCCCCAATCAACGTTCTCCGCCATGCACCTGGCTTGCAGTATTCTCCGGGTCTCCATTGCTGCCACGAAGGACGTTTGTGCCGTGTTCAGCGAATGGCGCAAAGCGGATGGCGCAGAGTGTGTGTGTGTGTGTGTGTGTGTGTGTGTGTGTGTAATCATCTGGCATGCCAGGCTCGTTGTCATCGTCAGTCCCCGTCGGGTCGGGCAAGTCTCGGTCTCAGACTCACTCACTCTCTTGGTGCCGGGCTTTACTCTCCGGTGCATCGTCGCCCTAGTCTGTGATGGTTTTTTAATTTATTTTTTGTTTTTATTCTTATCATGGCTGGAGTGCCGTGGTCGCGTTGTAGCGCTGGGTTTTACCCGACCGAGACCCGGCCAATCAGGTTCCCGACGTCGACTTTGCCTCAGGACCCATATTGAACTGGGAGGGTGCACCAGGGAAGGCAGCACACAGCTCGCAAAGGCAGGAGCGCCGGAGGGCAGAGCGAGCATAGCAAAACAGAAACAGAAACAGCGGCAGCAACAGCGGCAGCAGCGCTAAGGGGGTGCAGATGCGATACTGCAGTTGTTGCCCACCCCTGCCACCCCTGCCTCTGCTGCCACTTCCTGGCTGACGCCTCCTTCTCCTTTGTGGTTCTTCCTGCTGGTTGACGCGCGCACCTGGTCATCTCCTTCCTCTCCTTCCTCTGCTTCCTCTCCCGCGCCTGCCCGTCCACCCGCCCGCGTACCTGTCATGTTTCTATTGATGTGGAAGGAGCACCAGCTACTGTTCCTGCTCCTGCTCCGTCCTGCTCCTCCTGCTCCTCCTGCTCCTGCCGTTCCTAAGCTTCCAGCTGGCACTTAGTTTCCCGCATTGAGACACACCCTCAGGCCATGGGCGAATGGACGAGCGATGCGTGACTCTCTCACACACTCACACACTCTCTCTCCCGCACGCCGAATTATGTTGCCTGGTGCAGTAACTCTGTCCAGATACCAAGGCAGTAAGTAGAGTAGTGTGTACCTGACTGACCTCGTTGTGTGTGTGTGTGTGTGTGTGCGTGTGTGTGCTGCGTCGGGTGGTGTCGGTGCAGGCGCCTGCGGAAGTTCCTTTCCGCCCACCGACAGCCACACACATCCACTGGTCCATCCGTCCAATGGGCCAGCCACCCACACTCGAAACCGGTGACTGATGAGTCCAGCGTCAATGTGAGATGAGAGAGTGTGTGTACTACTATGTGTATGTGTGCGTGTCCGTGGGCGTGGAGTTCCTTTCAATACTTCCTTCAGTGGCCCACCCACCCAGCAGCACCGTCTATGAACCATGACAAAATCGCAGAGCCAATGAGCGGCAAGCTCCAGTCATTTCTCGTCCTTTTTATTTTACTCTACTTGTATTTTGTTTTTTATTTTTATATCCTGTCCCTTTTCTTTCGGGAATATGGTGTTGAGGAGGCAGGAAGGGACAGACGGCGCTCATATTCCCTCTTTGACAATGTCCAATCTGAAGGCGCTGGGTTGAAACCCACACACTCAATTCTCACTTATGGGTCCACGGATACAAATGCAAAGTAAGCTAGACAAGTACGTACATACATACATATATACATACAGACATCGCACTCGACCCGATGACGAAGTATCTCCGTACCCTTCTTTTAGCGTGTGGTCCCGTCGGAGCCAGTCACCCTGTCGTCTCCACGTCCAGACCCTTCTATCCTTTTTTTTATTTTTTTTTATCATTTTCTTTGACTCTGACCTTCCCTTGCCTCTGGAACATGCTGCCAATGCTCCCCCTTCCTCAGAGTGCCAAAGCCAACGCCGCCGACTTGGCCAAAGCTACGTCGGGGGGGTTGCAACGACGACCACTGTCCAGTCTTGTTGCACCTAAGCACCCTCTCCTCCACCCCCCCCCCCTCGTCCCTGTCACCGTCCCCGTCTCCGTCCTCGTTCCAGCCCAGTCCGCCAGTTCCGACTCCCCAACAGTCTAGGATGTAATTAGAGAAAGGGAGAGGGAGAGAGGCGGCGGCCAAGAGGAAAAACCATCCTGTCGGGGGCACATGGGTGTAATCGAGTGTATTGTGTGCGACGTACTATGGTGCTGCTACCGATCCTGTCTGTATTGGAATAATTCCAATACCTGGTACCTACCTTGATCCATTGTCTATCTCTCACCTATCCGTCTCGTCTCGCTGGTGATTAATGCACAACATAGCTTGTAGACAGGGACAGCGGCTGCTCGGTTTAAGGAAAATGCTATGCCAGTGCCGCGCGAGGGCACGAATGCTCTTGGTTCTGTTATTGTATTTTACATTCATCTATTATTTGCTGGCTTGTATTGGTCCATTATCTCCCCGGGGTCCCAAACGGTGGGTGCTGGTTCTGCTACAGAGTACGAAGTACATGCTGCGTAGGTATTCGTATTTCTGCTACCGGGTCGGGTCCCTTCCTTTCCCAGTCTGCGTCTGCCTGCGCCTGCCTGCCAGCGTCCCCCCTCCCGACCAGCCCAGCGCGAGCCCACTTTCCCTGCCCTGCTGTTTTGCCCTTGTCGTGTCGTGTCGCCAACAAGTACCGACCTCCTCTTTTTCGATGCACCGATACCTAGCTTTGCCCCGAAGAGTACCTCTCCTGCTACTTTTGCCCATCCCATCCCGCCTGCCCACCTATCACCTACCTACTTACCTACCTAGTCGTACCTGCCTGCCTTACCTACGTTACGAACCGCTGTAGTGTATACCCCCCCCCCCCCCCTTCTTTTCTTCACTCACTTCGCCCTCCCGGTCTCCTCTCCCCCCCCCCCCTCTCGCCTCCATTCACACACGCACGCCGCCATCATTCCTCTCCACTTTACATCCTCACACCCCCATCCCCCCGTCCTTCTCTCCCATCCCCATCCCATCCATTTCACTCCTCGAAATTCTTCTTTTCCGACTTTATTCCTTTCCTCTCCCCTCCCCTCCCATCCTCCAAATTCTCTTTTCCCTCTCTACCCAACCCTCGAATCCGCCGTACCCCGACGAAATCCTTCGTCCTCGACTTTTGCACGATACTCTCATCCAAGTCGTCGACAACCCAGGATTCAGGTTCTCGTCCCTCTTATCTCCCTCCCTCTTCCTCTCCCTCTCCCTCTCGACGCGAAGCCGATTCGGTTCGACTCTCGTTGTCCGATTCACCCCAGCCCGACCACCATCACAACCCGAGTTGATACTCTTGTTTGATCCAAAAGAACACCGTCGGTCGACATCACCGCGCGAGCGCTCAACGACCGAATTAACCACCCAACGAAGTCCCTCCGCCTCCGTGTCCCGATCAACCCTCTCTTGTTTTCCTTCCTTGAGGTAAGCTTTTTATTTCGAAAAGTTCCAAGTCTCAAAAATATGTTGCCGCCATAGTCTGCACATGAGCTTCAACAGACCATTTCGCCTACGTCGTGGCGGCGAATCACTCCTCTTCCCGACACAGGGCACGACCGTGACGCGGTGTACTCGATTTCGCAATAGGATAGCAACCCAGTCATTCCGTCATCACCCCCTTTGTCTGCGTCTCCTACCGTCCAACATTGCTTAGGTGTTGCCTCTCTGTGCCCAGTGTGCTGGCGCAACCTAGCACATGTTGCATTGTATTTCCGCAGGGAACACCCTTTCCTTGTTGCCTCACAGCAACTCTTCACTCCAACACCGGCCCGCCAGCACTTGACGCATCATTCGACGAAGCTTGTGTGTCAGACTCAGGCACAGACAGTCAAAGTTTTTTTTTTCTTCTTCTTGTAGGGCACTCTCGCTGATCAGTTACCACTCGCAGACAAAGCTAGCTCCGGCTTTTCCCTTTCTGCCCGACTTTCTTCGTCCCGTGTCTGGCGGCCCTTGGTTCTTCTAACGCCTCGACCATTATCCTCCGTTCAAGCATCCATTCCGAGTCAGCCATCACATCATCCGTTTCCGCGCGAAGATTCTTCATTTCCTGGGCGGTTTCGATCTGTGAACTATCCTCGATCCGCAGCATATTTCCTTCATTTATCCTCGACTACTAGAAGTCCGCCTTCCGCTGTCAACACGATCACACCCTTGATGGCTATTCGCAATTACTAGGGGCTCGTCACTCACCCGCTCACCAACCCGGCACCTCGTCTCTTTAGGCCTTGGACAACACCACTAGCACGTTGCGGTCCTCGTTCCACTTGCCAAGTGTTCTATCCGAGTGCCTCGAGCAATCTTCTCACCCCGACAAAGGTCCTTCCCCGATCTTCGTCGGAACCCCCACCATCACCGCCATCATGCCCGGAGGCGTCTGTGCCGTCCTCGATTACGAGGTCGACCAAATGGCCGAGTTTGTCGCCGAGATGGCCACTCGTGTGGTCATGCCGTTGTCGACGACCGCCGTCACACCCCCCTTTCGCAAGTTCGTCTCGCAGATCCTGTCTTCCACGAGACTGCCCAAGAGCACTATTCTTCTCGGAATGAACTACCTCGCGAAGCGGGTCAACACGCTGAAGCAGAACAATCCTACCTATACGGTACCCGAGGGCCAGGTTTGGCGCATGTTGACGGTCTCGCTGCTGCTTGGCAGCAAGTTCTTGGACGACAACACCTTCCAGAACCGTTCGTGGTCTGAGGTGAGCGGCATCCCCGTAGCTGAGCTCAACGCTCTGGAACATGAGTGGCTGGAGCAGTCTGGCTGGTGCCTCTACGTCAACCTGGATTATAGCGCCGACTACAAGGCTTGGCTTACCAGTTGGGATGACTGGAAGGTCCTCAAGGATCAGGCCGCTGCCAGGGCCAGCCGGGAGAGACTTGTGCCGGCCATCGACACCAGCATCAACCGGTACGGAGGACGATCTGCGTATCATACGTTTGTTCAGCAGCAGGCGGCTGAATATGAGCGCTACGAGGCCATCAAGCGCAACGAGCTGGCCTGTCACCAGTACGGTAGCTGGAATTGGCCATCCGCCCCGCTCACCCCACCGGACTCTGGCTACGGCACACCCGAGTACATCAACTCTGCGACTTCAGCTAATGCCCGTTACAACGACTGGTTTTCTCAGGCAGCTGCCAACGGTCAGTGGAACACGCGTTACCAACAGCCGTCTCACTACTACGGTCACCGCCACAACCAGCAGGCCTTCTCTGGGCACTACAACTACCCGCAAAATATCTGGGAGCACGGTGTTGCAGAGTGTAGCTGTGCAACCTGCGTCGGGCCTACCGCGAAGCCATCCGCCTACTTTGCGCACCCCAGCTTCGGTCAGCCTGTCATGGGCTAACCTCATCGCGATGCCTGGTCCGGCCATCGCCGCCCTACGAAACTGGAAGAAATTTCTACTATCGGAAAAGTTTGGGAGGTCTAGCGTCACCGGAGACGCAGGCTTTTTGTTTTTCTTTTTTTTTTCTGGCATGACGATACATTTGCATTCTTCAGATACCCTCTCACGACGAGAAACCGAAAGAAGCGGTTATTTGACCGAATGGTCCCCCACGTCGGAATTCGACTTTACGACACATGGGCAGGCATACGGCATGGTTTCGACCCTCCAGTTCTGATGTACGCATCCAAATTCGGCTATGGATTCCTCCTCGGAATTTCGAACTTTGTTGCGTCGGACGACGGATGGTCTATCGATCCTCTGGCTGCAGCCCTTAATGACATATTTCTTTAATTCTTTCCCCTTGGTATACGGATAAACTCATCGGCGTTGTCAGGTCGCCCGTCTCAATTTCCCCGGAGTTTTCTCAATAGAGTTTGTGGCGGTGTATTTTTCTTTTGTGGATGTGGGTTGGCCGGCAGAGCTTTTTTGCTTGTGTCTTTATGGTTTTGAACGTGGGGCAAAGCATGTCTTGGTTGACGAAACAGCTTCGACATGAGTCGGTCGAGGTCTAGTACGATCGGGTCAGCAACACAGTACACGCTGCCAAAAAAAGCCTCATCATCTCTGTGCGCCTGACTGCGCACCAGGACAGCGAGATGCTCGACAAAACCCGCCTACCCACCCCGCAGTTTCTTTTGTGGCACCTCACAAAACCATACGTGTTTCTTGTAACTTTACCTTGTTTTCGGCACAACACTGTCTTCGGTCTAGAGTAGGATCGGATGGATGCAGTGTGGACTAAACCGGCAAGGCCGACATAGTCGAAAGAAGACGCAGGCCTGCTGTGTCGGCACGAGACGGGGGAAAAAAAGAAGTGGCACTTCAGCAAAGGCTACTTGCGGATCATGTGTTTACTTGGCTGGTTATACGCGGGCATCTGTGTTTCGCGAGAATGGAAAAAAAAAAGACTGGACTACCATGGAGAGGTGTTCTGCATCGTGGTTTTTGGTCAAGTGGGAGGCAATCCCTCCAGGAAACGTCTGGAGTTTTATCTCTTCACTTTGTCATTATGCATTTCCTGTTTGGTTGGCATGTGTTTTCGCCCTCTCTTTACCACACTCATGGTGAAGAAGGCAGAAAGCCGCTCTTTCACCACCCTTTACTGTTCATGACATTCTTAGACGTTTATTTTTATCTTCCCTTCGGTGTCAAATTCGGCATTCGTTTGAGTGTCAAGGACAAGGAGTTGAGATGCTGATGTAGGAGAAGGATAACGAGGTTTTCTTCTTTTGGCTGCAGCGATGGATTGGTGCGGCTTTACATGTTTATGACGACGAGAAAGGGTTTATTTAGGATTGGCCCAAGCCTTCGCCAAGGTACCTCAGCATTGCTGGTAAGAGAGCATACCGTTATGCTAAAAGGGCAGCTTGCGAGCCATCAGCCATAGGATATGGGTTGAAATGGGGTTCTTGGGAAGAATGAAACTACTGGAAGGAAAAGCAAGGATACAAATGGAATTCTCACATGGTGATTGATGGCACCTGTCAAGTACGGGGAAAGGTGGCAGTCCTAGATAACCAAACAAAAAATACACAAAACACATCAAGATGACTTGCTTACGCCTACTTGTAGTGACGCTCTATGGCAACTATCTGGGTCAGCACGCACCCCCCTTCTGTGTTCTTGTTCTTGTTCAGCCTTGCTACCAAGCATTGATCCCGGCTGCTTGTTGCCTGTACCGCTATTTGGGGACGTTGCCGCAGACAGCTGCACCGTCGTGTTGATAGAGCCCGCCCGTCTCCTTCGTTGATAGAAAGCGGCTGGAAGACGGCGCGAGGAGTGACAACACATCCTAGAAACCCACGTCCCTTCCGCCGCAATAGAACCGCTTCGCCAGTGCCTTGATGATTATTACGCATCCTACAGTGGCTTGTGACTAGTTTACTCCAGTTGAATAGATTTTTTAACTTTTTTCAATTCTTTTCCCCCCCCCTTTGTCATAGGCCATCATAGGACAGATATGTTTGCTCACGTGCCCATCATGTATATATAGTCGACCTTGCCAAGGACTTACGTCCTCAGAGGAGGTCAGTCTTGATAGACTACAGTTGGCCTATACCTAGCTTTCCTTGTGTCATTGTGTATAGCTTTATTGCATCGTTTCGTTGCGCAAGTATTGTTTGCTCTCGTGAATCTTTCACTACGTTTCTTCGCGCCGCTGCCGTGCTATTGCCCAGCAGCTCCTACAGCCTATTTGCCCCGCTAGATCCCGGAACGGCTGCCGGGAGGGCGGTGTCATTTTTCAACTTCTGGGTAGGGAAAGTGTCAAATCAAAACGTTGAATCTTCAAGTAGACTCTTAAAAGCATTTGGAATTTGGTGAACTAAACAGTCCTAGAAGTGCCGTATATCTAACAACTAGTGGATGTACCCAATATGCGTACTTAGGTACCGGCCATACGTGACGTTGCCCAGGGGCCAGCTCCACCTACGGCCATATGCGTCAGGTCTGTAGATAATGTTAGTATCTTGGTTTTTCACTTCTTTTTTCTTTCGCCAAAGTACTCAACATACCCTTTCCCTTCTTTTTCGTGATCAGAAGAATGCTTAACAAGCGACACTGTTCGGGCAGCAGACCCATGAAAGACCTCCACTTGGACCACCACCACAGAACTTTTGGCCGCTTGGGCAATTGTTCTGTCCAAGGGCACCTGTCAATTGTTAGGACGACCGAATGCCTAGACTAACTGCGGAAATGTGACAATGTATATATATATATATATATATATATATATATATATATATATATATACGAAGAGTGGACAGCTCTTACCGGGACTACCGTACTCCTGGCAGCCCGCAGGCAGTTGGGCATATACCCCAAGGCTGGGAATCAAAAGGGCAGTGAAGACACTGAGGATGAACTTGGGAGAGTACATGGTTGATGTGTGTAAGCCTGAGTAGCTTTGACTGTGATAAGAGGATATAGAAAAGGTTGTGGACGAGAGGGAGCTCGATTGGCTGCGGCTTTGAGCTGGAATATATAGTCCGAGGTGTATGGGTTATTCGTATGGGAGGTTGCGTCGTTATTTCTGGCAGCAACATGGCTGAATCGTGTGGTACGACGTACTGAATCAATGACTCGTATAAATGAAACCCGTCGACCAAAATCAGCACTCCGACACCGCGTAACCAGTCCGTCGAACCAAACTTTAACTTTTGCAGGGGCATAGGTTACCACAGTACTGGGACCTTTGGGAAGAGGCGGAATGTCAGTGATCGACACGCCCATCCTTTCCGCCTTTGTACTACTAGGCGTGCAAGAGAAATGCGAGATCAGGACCACCTGATACCCCCTACAAACCCCAGGCTCTTGGTCTTTGGGTTTCCCACAGGATTCAACGTAGAACCGACGTTGAGGATGACTTCAAAAAGGAGAAGGAAAAAGAAAGAAAAAAAAGCCGTGTCCTCAACGCAACTCCTACCGGCTCAAGCATATGGACAGGGCGCCTCATGCTACTTTACATATCAGCGCTCTTTGAACAAACCAAAGCCATCGTGGCCAAGCAAGTCGTAACCCTCAACGCCCGTAGTCGAACCTTACCGACTTGTTGCTTTCTCACAGGTGGAGCTGCCTCCGCATTTCCAACACCAATCCGTCACGCAGAAAACAAGCGGTGTCGTTGATTACACGCAGTAATTAACTACTATGGTATTAGGCCAAAGTTAACCCCCTCGTCAGGTAGATATGGCCGTGCTTTTTTTTTGATTATCTCGGCGACGATACTTTGAGGTTCTTGTGCACATCCACCATAATTCTGGCCAGTGAGAGTCTCGCGTACGTGGGTCATAAACTCCACACTACCTGTTAGGGAGTTTTACTTACACGTCACACCATAGTATATCCTACGTGGCCCCCTCTCCCCCAAGTTTGATACAAGTGGGACCAAATACGCTTTTATAGTGCGAGGCCTCATCGAGCATATGCGGTCTAGACTGTAACGCTCCGGTTAGACGTAGAGTGTTTCGCTTGGAATCCTTGGCCGATTGTGGGAATCAAACCTATGGTGTTTTGAGACTTCGGCTTCATTCCTGCTGTCAGACTATCAAGGTATGAAGCGGGCAAGCTGGGCTCATAACTGTCACGCGAAAACGAAGGCGTTGTTAACTACGGGCAGTAATCGACGCCTTATATTCCACGTCGCATGTGCTTCCTCTTGTCCAATGAACCCCCCCCCCCCCTGGTGCCATAATGAGCCCCTCTCGTTAGTGGTCGTCCCCATCCTCCTCGACACACGTCAGGCACATCCCCCCAGATCTTCCGCCAATGGGCCCTCCCGCCCGGGAACACTAGCTCTATACTACGTCTTTGCCGGCGGGCTGAGCTGGGCCGCTTGCAAGGGGGCCGTTTGTGCAAGTCGCAAAAAGTGGAGGCACGCCCGACTTGGTATGACTGCCCCCGCCGACAGGGCATGTGGATGGGCTCTCTAGTGTCGTTGGTCATGAGGGGTGGTGATGAATGGAATCCAGACCTGGAAGGTAAATGGCTGGATCGATGGGTGGATTCTTTTTTTACACGCAAGCCCATGGTGTGTAGTGACGTGATGAACAGAAACGATGGACTGTGCTGTTTGTTTGTTGAAGCCCGTTGCGATAGCCTTGCCTGAGTTCCGCGTCCAGTTGGTGATGATATTTGCTGGTACGGTTGGAAATGTCAGCAGGCCAAAACAAGCCACCGGCGGCGCGGCCATGGTCGTCATCTTCTTCGCTTTGAAGCCCACTCCGGTAGCTGTTCTGGGCCTACGATCCTGCAGTAGCTGGCGAAACTGGACCTTTGGGCAAGCTGTTCCTCTTTCCCTTGTTGATCTGTCTGCTGGTTGCGCTCCTGTGGGTGAGGCCATGTAGTACATGTTTTCTTTGCGTCAAGAATGCTCCTCCTCGTCTAATACCTCCCTTAGATTATCCAGACCAGGACCGCTGTGCAGTCTAGAATCGCCACCCTCCTACTTGTCATCTCCTTTGTAGTACTAAGCCTGCTGTCCAGCCAGCTCGTAAGTCGCCAAGGCTACTACACGCCCTTCACCATGCTCTCCTCCGTTTTAATGCCAGTAGGCGAAGGGCTTCTTTCCACGTTCAAGGTCAATATGGGCACCGGAGCTGGATTGGATTCTAGGACTTGGATTCGCAAACTAATGTGGATACGGGCGCAACGGCCCTGCGCAATACCGTGCCCGCAGCAGACCTGCCTACGGTGCTTATCAACTATGTTACAGTCAGTAATCCGACAGTAGGGTTTCCGCTAATAGTATAGCTAAGGTCAATACTCAGTTACAGTAACATAGGCTTACTAGCTTATTAATCACTTAGTAATTAGTCAGGTAGTTAATAGTTGTAAAGGTAGCTTACATAGCTCTTGTTAATAAATTACTAGAGTTAGATCCTAAAAGGTATTCAGAGAATGTATTATAAAGTTAATTACTAAAGAGCTATAGAAGTCTGTCCTTAAGTGCGTCTAAGTCTATCCTATATACAAGTCTATAATCCTGTTAGTGTGCTATAGAGCAATAGCTACCTATTAGTCCTTTATTGTGGAGCAACTTTGACTAGTTGGTCCTTTACCTGGAGCGCTTATTGCTTGTTAGTCCTTCTTATTATCACGTGACTTGTACTATAGTTCTTCCTTCTGGGGAGTCATCTGTATAATGATCCTGGTTGTCTTGGTGGTACAAAGGCTGTGTTGCCCACGCTTCCGCCTTGGTGGGGCTAACGTCGCCTGTAACTTGTTGGGTCATAACAAACTACAACGAGGCAATCAGATGGGTGTCTATTATCGGCGCTGGAATTCTTTACAATGGAATGGAAGAGCGTGAAGGGGCGACGAGAAGTCTAAAGTGACAAGCGAGGACGGGCAAGCTGGCGAGAAAAGAGGACAGTTTCGGCCTGGAAAGGACGTATCCAGGACAATTGAAACAAGGCATCTCGAGTATAAGAGAAAAAAAAAAGAGTTTTGCAGGAGAAAAAAAGACTTTGGCTAGTACTTTGAGTTCTCATTTCGCCCGAATCCGAGTTTAATATAGTATTTCAGTATACAAGATGATAATACTCCAAGGAAGTTTATATAAATAACATTTAGTTACTTTCAAGCCATAGCCTATAGGGTGCACTAGAACAGGTAGTAAGGGTAGTATATTCTTCTTCTTTCTTTATGCCAGATTGAGCCGACTTGTTGCGCAACCACGCACCACATGTGGAGCGCGTCGTGTGATTCGCGCGGATTTCGACGCACGGCCGTCCTTTGCATACCTGTTCTCCCCTCAAACCCAGGCCAGCGGTTCTCACACTCACATACCGGTACACATCTTGGCCCATCCGTGCGACCGGAGACTTTACCGATTCGAGGGCCATTTTGCTCCTACTGCTCAGATCTGCCAGCTCAAAAGACGTCGGACGATCGCGTTGTGAGAAGGCTTAAATAAAGTTCTGAGTCGAGGTCCCTTTTTTATTCCTCTTATATTTGCTGCTGTCGCCGTCACGTGTCTCAACCCTTCCACCCTTCTCGCCTATTCGGAAGGCACTGGGATATCGAGAGCCTTCCTCCCCCCCAAGTCTCATTTGAAGGGGATTAGAGGAGAAAGAGGCGCAAAGAAGGGGGGAAACGTTTGAGGTTAAAGAGATACGTGGCGAGGCTCTCGAGGAAAGGAAAGAGAAAAAGAAAAAGGATGTCGCGTTTCGTGTCGGCGGGTGCGATCGACGTCAAGACGGGCGAGGTCGTCGTCGCCGAGGAGGCGAAGAACGGAGACGGCACCGCCGCCGCCGCCGTCGAGGCGAAGAAGAAGGCAGAGTGGGAGATTGTGCAGAGGGAGCTCGAGGCCGAGAGGAAGCGGAGGGAAGAGGCGCGGGTCAAGAGCGTCGAGGGCGGGGAGAGGAGCCTGTACGATGTGTTGCAGGCGAACAAGGGTGAGTCGCGCCCCCTCTCTCTGTCACTTGTTCACTGTTCACTGTCCACTGTCCACTGTCCACTGTCACGCAATCTCACGCACACTGCTGTTCCCCATCCCTGCCTCTCCAAACAGTGGGCGTTTGTATTTTGAACGAGGGGGTTCCTGATTGTTTGTCTGTTGATTAGCACCAGACTGACACTGGCACTGGCACTGACACCGATACTGACATTGGGGGTGGGGAACCAACAGCCGCCAAGCAGGCCGCGTTCGAGGAGGCCAACAAGATCCGGAACCAGTTCCGCGCGCTCGACGACGACGAGATCGAGTTCCTGGACGAGGTGCGCGAGGCGAAGCGCGCCGAGGAGGAGCGGGTGCGGCGGGAGACGGAGGAAGGGCTCGCGGCGTTCCGGCGGGCACAGGGCCAGGGCCAGAAGAGGCCCGGTGACGGCGACGACGACAACGATGCATCCGAAGGAGGAGGGGGGGGAGCAGACGGGGGAGCCGCGGCGGCGGGGGGCGTGTCCGGGGCCCGGGACGACGGCGCGGGCAAAGCGGAGGAGGAGTGGGCTGTCGGGCCGAGGAAGCGGAGGAAGAGGGAGAAGGGGGGGTTCGGGGTGAAGAGGGTCGAGGAGAAGGATGCAGCGGAGAGGAAGACGTCGGTCGGGGAGAAGGCTGCTGCTGCTGCTGCTGCTGCTGCGGCGGCGGCGGTGGCGACGGCTGCCCAGGACGGTGGTGAGAAGAAGGAGGACGCCGCGAAGGCAAGCCCGCCCGCGCCGCCGGCGGCCAAGGCGAAGAAGCTGGGCCTCGTGGCGTACGGCTCGGACTCGGACGACGATTGACCGGGGGACGGACGGGGAAGAAACGAAGGGAGGAATTTGTGCGAAAGGTGACGGGGGGGGGGCCATTGCCAGACGACTAAAACGGGGAAGGGGGGGCTACGCATGCACGAAAAAACTCACGATTGATGTAGACGACGAAACGCTAGGTGGACGGGGGGAAAAAAGAAAAGAAAAGGAGAAAAGAGGAGAGTGTACGGTAATATTCGTCATATCGACGGGCGAGCCTTTTTTTTCTTTGCCCGGCAAAACCAAGTCTATAATGCCCTGCCCATCGCCATCCATGCACGCACGCGCCCCCGGTAACATGATCAAACTACAAGCTAGAATTACAATATGGGTTTGTCCCCCCCCCTGGCGGCCGGGGTATAGTTAGTCATACATCTATCTCTCGCTTCCTCACACACATCTCTCCTCCCGGGTCTCACTCGTCAATGTCGCCGACGTTGGGGCCCTTGGGCCGGCCGCCGCTGACGGCGTCCCGGGCCCAGCGGCCCAGCGACCGCAGGCTGCCCTTGATCCAGCCCTCGACCTCCTCCTCGGGCACGACGATCTGGCGCGCGCGCTCCTCGTCCTCCGGACGCATCTCGAAGCGGCGCATGCGCCCGGCGATGCGCGGGTCGACGACGACGGGGCTCGTCCAGACGCGCTCCTTGGCGCGCTCCGCCTCGTCGGCGGACTCGGGCGCCTCGGCGGCCTCCTTCCACACGCTCTTGACCCAGTTGGCCTGCTCGTGCTCGAGGGCGCGCTGCTGCTCTTCCTCGTCGCCGCGCCACTCGCGCGAGGTGGCGAAGCAGGCGGCGGCGACCTGGCGGCCGATGTCGTCGGCGAGGCGGCGGCGGGTGAGGAAGCGCTGCAGGCGGGTCAAGGTGCCGGCGAAGCCGAGGAGGTGCGGGAAGGGGATGGCGTCCGACGGGGAGAACTCGTCGGGAATGTGCGGGGGCAGGTGGGAGGCCGCGTAGTCGAGGGGGGTGTTGTGGGGGACCGGCTGGGGCGGGCGGTCGGGCTTCTTTTCTTCCTCCTTGGGGGGTTCGTCGTCCTTTTTTTCTCCTTCAGTGCTGCCGGCGAGGGCGTCATCGCCTTCGGCGGTCTGCGAAGAAGAGGTGGTTGGGACGGCGGCCTCGGGCTTGGGCGGCGGGTCGAGGGGGCCGAGCCAGCCCTCGTGCAGGCCGCGGACGTACTCTTTCCAGGTGTGGCGACCGATGACGATATCGCCGGCGGGACCGTCGTACTCGGGGACGCCGTTCTTCCGGCGCACGGCGTCGCGGAGGTTCTCCTCGGTGGGCAGCAGCTCTTGGTCGGGCCGCTCGTCGCGGGAGCGGCGGCGGCGGATCTTCTCGGCGACGGCGGCGCGGACGTCGCCCTGCTGGCGGCCCTGGACGAAGTCCCAGTCGAGGCCGGAGGCGGCCAGGATGGGCTTGACGTACTCGAGAAAGTGGTCCTGGGCGACGCGCAGGCCGTCGCCAGGGGGCGCCTCGAGGAGGATGGTGAGCTTGCGCGGCATCTGGGAGGGGCTGCCGACGGGCTCCCGGGCAAGGGGCGCGACGGCGCGGGCCCAGCGGGCGGTGGCACGGTTCTTCTCGCGCTTGTCGTAGATGATGGCGGCGGAGAAGGCGCCCGTCAGGGAGAGGAAGATCATCCAGTTGCGCGAGGGGAGGCGCTTCGGGGGCCCGCGGAGGCCCATCATCTGCCATACGGGGTTCGGTTTCGCGGCTTTGTAGCCCTCAGCGGCCGAGGCGGTGGCGGTCGTGTTCGTGGTCGTGGCCGTGGCAGACGTTGAGGGGGTCGGGTTCGAGGTTGCGACCGCCTGAAGAGAGAGAGAGAGAGATTCCCATGTTAGTCTCCTATGAAAGGGTGACAAAAAGAGACTATGCGATAGGATCATGGCTTTTGCTCACCTCGGGCGGCGTAGGTTTGGAGTCCGCCATGGTTCAGAGTATGGGCCGGGCGGAAAAGGTATTGGATGTTACAGAGATTCGGCAAACGACAATGGGGGCATCACAGAAAAGGATGCGGTCGAAGAAGCCGGCGGCTCGCAATGCCTCGTATCGTGTACCTTGAATCCGGGGCCGGGAATGAGGTTAATGGAAATTTTACCGCTTGGTCGCGATAAGAGCTTCGCAGAGTTATCGCACCTAGTCGTCCCAAAAGGGCATGGCGCGGGCTATCATCCGACCGCTTTCCCTATACGGCAAGGATCCGTGCACAGCATTACTCTACCGGTATTGTAGCAGCAGCAGCGGCGGCGGCGACAGCTTGATCATGATTCAACATGCGGTTTGCCGTGTTATGGTTTTGTTTTCTGGCTCAAGTGGGACGGACGCGTGGGGAAACTCCGGCCGCGACAAGTTCGTGACGAGGGCCTGGGGAGGCTTGGAGCGACGTGATGCTGCTCCCTCTTCATTACCTCCTCTACTTCCCGAGAATCTCCAGGGCATTTGAAACACCAACTAATCCTGTCCACTGTGTGTGTGTGTGTGTGTGTGTGTGTGTGTGTGTGTGTGTGTGTGTGGAAGGACGAACTCTCGGCCGCGATTCACGCGGGATGCCCCCGGCCCTGCGGCCTGGCGATCTCCAGAATTGACGGCAGACCTGAGCGCATTACGGTCTCCTTGGCAGAAGGACAAGAATAGGTTGTCATGGCAGGCAATTGCATTACATGGCGTTTGCCTGTCCTGTGTTGTCATTGGGCGGCGATGGCAGCGAGCAAGCAAGCATGGAACGGTGAATGAATGGATCGCTGGGCAAGAAGTCTGACACAGGCAAAGGCACGGGACGTCATTCAAGCCTCGTCTCGTAAGCTATGTTATGCCTGCTGGAAAGCATTGGTGTGTCCGATAGCTCACCGATGGGCGAATAGGTGCGGACGGGCGTAGGCGTACGTAATGGAGATTCTGATTCTGTGTCAAGAGTCGGTGAGGAATGGCCCTTCCGTCGAGTGTGTGCATGGACGCCGGGTTAAGCGAGATCCGATCCCCGGCTCTCAAGGCTCACACCGAGGAAGGCATCTGTCGCTCTTGCTTCCCTCTTTCTTGCCCGAGTAAGGCATGTACAAACACACCGAGTTTACTTACATGAGATACCTACACCACTTCGTACTTGCCTTAGTAACAACACTCTGTACCGGTATTGTATGCTGGTAGGGGAGCTGCCGATGCTTAGCTTAGCATACCGGTAGTCGTCCTGCCCCCCTCCTTCCTCGTTATTAACCTACCGCCCCGCACTTTTCATGGGTCCGAGCGGGCAGCAGCAGCGGTGACAGAGATGCAGGAAGGAAAGGAAAAACATATCTGTATACGGATATTATACTCCGTATATATCCATATATTCATACATATACATACACACCTATATGGCCAAAAGAAAAGACCCGAGGCAGGCAGAGAGGCGCGTTGAAGAATCTTCATGCTTGCTTAGCAGCCATATCATGCCCGTGACCCATGGACCGAGGAGAAAGAGAAAAAAAAAAAACGATGGAAAGAAATAAACGCGACACCTCGGCTGCACACTCAGCGGTCGACAAACCTTGTTTTTATTTTTTTTATTCTGTTATCTCGTAGGGCGAAAAGTCGAGATGCAGCGTGCAGGACGGTGCCAGTGGATGCGACTCGGTCGGCCACTCGACCCACTCTATAGACGAAGGAGCCAATCAAAGATCATCCTCTTGCTTGAATCTCAGGGGTCGCTGGGGTCCGACGAGGGGAAGCCCCTCCAGGGCCACCCAGATCCACGTTTCTGCTTCAGCGTCTCCTGAGCCAGGCCCAGTCAGTCCTGTGTAGGTACGGTGTACGGTGTATGTAGGTACACGTATCTTGCAAAAGCACCTCTGGCGGCTTCGACTCGAAGAGAGCAGGAACAGGAGGGAGCCTCCTCGTTCAAAAGCAGGCAAGTATATTCCATGTACTTACCCATCTCTGATGTATAGCTACTGCCTACCTACCTACCTACTAACTCACTGAGCTGACAGACTGGATGACACCGAACCCAATTGCGTTCCAAATGCTCAACAGATGTACACCGGTACTTGTATGTACTTGTGCCGTGGGACCACCCTCCGCCCCTTGTCAGCATCGCCTTCCCCTATTCTCATGTACTTGTACACGGTACTATGTACGCATCCTACCTACCTACCTAAGGTATGTATCCTGTCTTATTCCCTTCCCCGCCAAGTCACAGAGTCGAATCCTCCCACCCCTCAACCGCCTCCTCTTCCGTTGTCGTCAACGGCGACTCTCTTTGTCGTCACTCGTCAGTCTCAGACTACCACAAGCCGGTCTCGTGACCTCGACTTCTCCCCCCTCTCTCCTTGGTCAAGCCACGAAGGTGCCTCTCATCCCGCCGCCTCAGGTCCCGATTCCTCCCCGACTGTGACAGAACCGACAACGAGCTAGCAGCGAGCGACCTTGACGCCCAGCTTCGTCCCGTCTCCTTTTCCTCCCACCGTTGGCACCCGGAACATCAATCAGCCCCCTTAGGGCCTTGCCTTGGAGCCGCCCCCTCTCCGCCACCTGTACGCCTTATCGACGGCTCCCCCCCCCCCCTTTCGTTGGGTTGGGAAAATAACCACCTCCCACCAAACCTTTTACCGCCCATCTCACCCATTGACACCAAAAGGTACGAATCCTCATCTACGACTTCCCCTACACCGTTGTTGTCGTTGTCCTTACACTGCGTAGCCCTCCCTCTGTCTCTCTTCATCTCAACCGGGGCACACACGTACTGACTCCTCCTCTTCAAGTCTCATTGGGTTGTGAGCATCTCTCATTTACTCCACCGTCCACCGCAATCTATTCTTCCCTCGACAACCGCACCGGGGGACGCCCCGAATTCATCCAGCCACCCGCCTTGACCCTGCCTGCCTGCGCACTGCGGCTGCACCCTTCCCTCCTCCGTTGCCGCCTCCCCCCCCCCGCCGCCGCCGTGCGGAAGCAATAGCAGCAAGCAATAGCGGCCATAGTAGCACTCGATCTGCTACCTCACTTCCATCTCCGGCTTGGCCAAAGCACGTCGTCCGCTGTCACCTAAAATTGTCATATTGCTGCTGGTCGCCCGCACAGTCCTCGCAATCCCCTCCCCCCCCCCCCCTCCCCTACCCGCACACGCCGTGACCCTCCCCCGAGTCAAGACGAAACCTTCGCAATGGACGGCAATAATAATCGCCTCTACCTCAACATCGGGAACAACGACCGCTTGGCTTCTGGCAACGACCGACAGTATCCAACCACCCCCTCCACCTTTCCTCAGCCCGTTTTCCCTCATCAGGGTCAGCAGCATCACCAGCAGGCCGGCATGCAGCAACAGCAGCAGCAACAGCAGCAGCCGTACGCCGCTGGGTACGCCTCCTCTGGCTACTTCAACCCCAACCAACAGCAGGGCCAATACCCTCCCCAGGGCCATGGAGACTATAACAATGCCGCCTACCAGCCTCGTTCCAACACGCCCGGCACCAACGACCCCAACGTCGGCCTCGCTCACCAATTCTCCCACCAGAACCTAGGCGGCGCTGCCCGCGCATCACCATACGGCTCCCGCGGCCCCTCCCCCGCTCAGCGACCTCGCACCGCCGGCACTTCAGGACAGCCGTCCTCGGGCTACGGTCACTATGCGACGCCCCCGATGCCCAACCAGTCGGCCCCCGCTGATATCTTTGGCCCGCCCCCCGAGCGCCTCTACGAGAAGTACGGCCCCAACGCCAATAACAACCAGAAGAAATGTACCCAATTGGCCTCCGACTTCTTCAAGGACAGCGTCAAGCGCGCGAGAGAGCGCAACCAGAGGTAAGCGACGACGACGTCAACGGCGGCGGATGTGCAACTTTACTGACCGTGCCCGCACCGCAGACAAAGCGAGATGGAGGTCAAACTCTCCGAGTCCGGCCAGAGCCAGCAGAGACGCGAGCAGATCTGGTCCACGGCCGGCCGCAAGGAGGGTCAGTACCTGCGATTCCTGCGAACCAAGGACAAGCCCGAGAACTACAACACCATCAAGATCATCGGCAAGGGTGCTTTCGGCGAGGTCAAGCTGGTGCAGAAGAAGAACGACGGCAAGGTCTACGCCATGAAGTCCCTGATCAAGACCGAGATGTTCAAGAAGGACCAGCTAGCCCACGTCCGTTCCGAGAGAGATATCCTGGCCGAGTCCGACAGTCCCTGGGTCGTCAAGCTCTACACCACTTTCCAGGACTCGTACTTCCTCTACATGTTGATGGAGTTCCTGCCCGGAGGTGACTTGATGACCATGCTTATCAAGTACGAAATCTTCTCCGAGGACATTACGCGGTTTTATATTGCCGAAATCGTCCTTGCCATTGAGGCCGTCCACAAGCTGGGCTTCATCCATCGGTAAGTCCTCCCCTCCCAATGTCTACACAGGCATGACCTTCTGGAAGCTGACACGTCTTTCTTCAGCGACATCAAACCCGACAACATCCTGCTGGACCGCGGAGGTCACGTCAAGCTGACCGATTTCGGCCTGTCGACTGGTTTCAACCGTCTACACGACAACAACTACTACCAACAACTGCTGCAGGGTCGGTCGAACAAGCCGCGCGACCGTAACTCCGTCGCCATTGACCAGATCAACCTCACTGTCAGCAACCGATCCCAGATCAACGATTGGCGTCGGTCGAGGAGACTGATGGCGTACTCAACCGTCGGAACGCCCGACTACATTGCCCCCGAGATCTTTACGGGGCACGGCTACACGTTCGACTGCGATTGGTGGTCACTGGGCACCATCATGTTCGAGTGCTTGGTCGGATGGCCTCCTTTCTGTGCCGAGGACAGCCACGACACGTACCGCAAGATTGTCAACTGGAGACAGACGTTGTACTTCCCCGACGACATCCAGCTCGGTGTGGAGGCCGAGAACCTCATCCGAAGGTAAGTTTAGACGCCTCCCCTTTGTTGTTTCGCTCCTCGACTGACATGCGGCGCAGCTTGATCTGCAACACAGAGAACCGTCTGGGCCGCGGCGGCGCGCACGAAATCAAACAGCACTCGTTCTTTAGGGGAGTCGAGTTTGACAGCCTGCGTCGCATCAGGGCACCCTTCGAGCCTCGCCTCACTTCGGCCATCGATACCACCTACTTCCCCACCGACGAGATTGACCAGACCGATAACGCCACCATCCTCAAGGCGCAAGCCGTCCAGCAAGCCCGCTCGGGTGTGCCTGCAGTGGTCGAGGAGTCTCCCGAGATGAGTCTGCCCTTTATTGGCTACACGTTCAAGCGTTTCGACAACAACTTCCGATAAGCGTCACATCCAGATCACTCTGGTAGTTAACTTGGCGTCATTGGCTCCTCGCATCGAAGGGCCGCCTGTTTCGTCGAGCAAAACGAAGGGGGAGGGAGGTACAGAAGAGCACAAGGCAATGTCTTGCTGGTTACTGCATTTTTTGCTTAACGGCCGGTCCAAACACGCCAGATTCTTGTTACCAAGACTTGCATTTACCATTGTTTTTTTTTTTAACTCGACTTTCAATTACTGCATAAAGGGCGTTGACACGCATCAAGATACAAAAATCGCACACATCATGTAGATGGAAGCGGCGGGTTTGGGTGTCTCTGGAGCCTTTCATCGAGACGGGCTGCGGATGCCTGGAGCATACATCCTCACGAGAAGCACGAGTAGGAGGCGAAACCAGACAGGGGGGAGGCCGTGGACAGGCGAAGTGGGCGTCGGATCTAGATCTAGTGGAAATACCAGATCTAGAAAACAAGTCATGGATGCCGTTGTGAAATTCAGGAGACACTAGGACGGCTGGCAACAACAGTAGGGTGTGGAGATGGATGCAATCGAGAGAAATGCAATTGAGAACAAGACGAACCCATGATTGTCGCTGTCTGTCTGGTATTGTGATTCTTATGTGTGCAACTTTTTCTCGAACTTGAATGTTAGCCCGTCTGTATCCCATGAGGATTTGATAAGCAGAAGGCACATCCTTACATTTTGCCTTGACCTGCGCCGTACGCCGTAATATCTTGTCGGGGGTGCTTTTCTGCCGTGTCTGCGAGAGGATATTCCACCGAACAGCTCACATGCCTGCGAGCCCAGATGATCGCTGGGATCTGGTCGGGGGGCATCTTTGGATGCCAAGAACGCCAAGCTAATCTCCGCCGGGCTCCCGCACATCAGACATTTGCCTTTGCAATGCGCCAGCACGCATGCTGAATGATTATACACATGCCCACCGCGACCATCCGAAATAAAAAGAAGAAAGCCGTTACTCCGTCCCCCCCCCCCTGCCACCCTTTCTCCCTCTTGTAAACGCGAGCGCACCTCACCTCCTCGTACCCGGAGCGGCGACGTAACGCTCCTCGCGCTCGGACATGAACATGACCTGGAGCCAGTACTCCTTGGCGTCGGGGTCCCAGTAGCTGAACTGCTTGCCCTCGCGCTTGTCGAGCTCGCGGGCGGGGATCTTGAAGCCGCAGGTCTCGTAGGGCTCGGCGGCGACGAGGAGGTACTGGAAGTTCTTGTCGGGCTCCTCGACGCGCTGGGTGAAGGCGTTCATGACCTGCCACTTGGGCTCGACGTCGGGGGCGACGTCGGGGTACTGGAGCTGGAAGAGGAGGCCCTGCTGGCGGGTGACGGGGTCGCGGACCTTGGTGATCTTGTAGCCGGGGCGGCCGATCTTGATGAGGTTGCGGCGCTGGGCATTGGGGCCGAAGCCGGCGCCGACGACGCCGACGGGCAGGCCGGTGGCCGGGTCGATGTTCTGGCCCCTGCCCTCCTTCTGCTCGCGGGCGGCGCGGCGGGCGAGGTTGGTCTGGTGCTTCTTGCCCTGGGTGTGGGCGAGGTAGGAGCCGTCGTTCTGGTGGACGGTGAGGCAGAGGCGGCACTCGAAGGAGCCGACGTGGTTCTTGAAGAAGTAGGGGTCCTTGTCGAGGTCGATGGTCTCGAGGGCGAGCTTACGCAGGCGCTCGCGGCGGTCGGCGTTGGTCGCCGAGTAGGAGGCGACGCCGCCGCCGCCGAACTTGGAGCCGGCGCGGTTCTGGTAGTCCATGCTGGGTTGCGTGTGGTTGGGTCGCTTTCGACTTTTTCCTTTTTCTTTGGTTTCGTCTATTTAATCTAGCAAGCCAATCGCTTAGAGGTGGTGTGTTTGTGTGTGTGTGTATGTGTTGAAGAGGCGGAGGATTGGTCTGAGATTCTCCTATGTGGTGGTTTGGTGTGGAAAATGCGATGGAAGCTCTGGGAGTTGTTCACGCGCGCGCGCGTGATGCACAGCGCCTGTGGTTTGTTCACCTCGGTGAAGGGACCGACTTTATCCCCGGAGGCAAAAATGTTCCGGGCAGGGTGTGGGGCCGTGCACGACCCACCGTCCCCACCACCTGTCGGTGAAGCTCGGTCAGACCCTGGTTTGTTCACAACTTCACACACACGCAAACACACACACACTCCTCAACTCAAACAACAAACAACAAACAACGGCTGCGCACGCGTGCTCCTGACCATACTGAGAGCCTCAATTCCTCCAACTCTCCACTATTCAATCAATCGAGGTCTTGGCAGTAGCAGCAAACAGCAAGCGGGGGCGTGGCGCAATGGTAGCGCTTCTGATTCCAGTCCAGAAGGCTGTCCGTTCGAGTCGGGCCGTCCTCATCTTTTTGCCGCTTTTCGAGGTCTGACGGCTTTTTATTACTGTTGATTTAGTCGTCACTAGGACGTTTGACTTTCCCAAGAAAGTCGACAACGCGAGTTCAATATATATGTACACTTAAAGCAGCAATCTTCCTATTGCAATGTTGACCATCGCGGATAAATATCAGAGTTATTAGGTTAACCCTAATAACTCATCGCTAGCAAATCCTTGGATATTTAGCCATAGATTCTCTAAGGATTTATAGGCAATAAGTTAGCTATTTAACTAACTAACCTATAATAATTATCCTTCTTTTCTTTATATATAATAAAGAACTATAGTTACCTCTATTATTTATTAATTACTACTAATATATATAGTTAACTATATTAACTTATCTCTTAGTATTACTAACACTAATTAGTAGTTAACTTTATTATTAACTATAAAGGTTAACTTTACTATTTAAACTATAGATTAGTAAGGTCTATAAGAAGAGGTAATTATTACTAGTTAATTATTTATACACCTAGAGTAAGTAAGTACTAAAAAATACCTCTATAAATACCTTTACTATAATAGTTTATACTAATTACTTATTATAATAAGTTAATTAATAGATCTATAACTAGTCCTTTTAACTAGTAGAAACCTTATTAATTTATGTCTATTATATAAGCTTTATTACCTTTAGAGAAGTACTTTTAACTATAAAAAACCTTTTACTTTATATACCTATAGCTAACTAGTAATTATTTACTATACCTTATTTATTATAAGCTTTTTAGCTTACTAACTTCTTTTTTTATATATATACTTCTTTTACTAACTAATAGTATTAATAAGTTACTAATATAATAGCCTATTATTTTTTCTTTTTTTACTAACTAATAGTGTTAATAAGTAGCTAATATAATAGCCTATTGTTTTTTCTTAAGTTATTTACTTATAAAAGTATATTTTTCTTTAACTATTTATACTACTAGTAGTAATTCCTCTAATAAATATATATACTTTCTAGTCTACTAGAAGAAACGCCTATATTTAAGAGGTTATTAGGCTAATAGAGGGCAATAGTAAATAACACTATACCTATAAGCAGAAGACCTAAGCTAAGATAAGTAAATATAATAAGCTTATAAGTAAGTAAGGCTTATAGGTTACTATACCTTTACTTATAAGGTAATAAAAAGAAGTTTATAGTAAGTATAATATACTACTTAATATAAGGCAGTAAGTAGTAGTAATTAATAATATATTTACTATACTTACTAACCTTATATAGTATATTCTCCTATAGTAATAAGGAAAAGACTATATTAAGAAGTTACTAACTAACCTTATAAGTAAGTAATAAGCTTTTATACTTAACACTATTACTATATTTTATATTAGTAGTTATAAGTATTATAACTATATTAGTAGTAAATTACTTTACTACACCTATAAGGATTTTAGTAAATAGTCTATAAATAACTTTAAGGTAATTAACTAGAAGGTCCTAATAAGCCTATATAACTTTATTATTAATTATAGTATATAGGTTAACTATAGTAAACACTTATTAATTACTTAATATATATTTAATACCTTTTAATAAAAGAAAGGCACCTACTAGACTAATAAGATAATTACTATTATTAAAAGATTATTATACAACTTTAAATTATATTTTAAAGACCTTAACTTTATTAAGAATATCTAAGGTTATAATATAATCTTATATAGTAAAAAACTAGCTAAAGCCTACTTATTACTAGTAGTTACTTATTAGACCTCCTATAATAACTTAACCTTTACCTTACTACTACCTTTATTAACGCTAAAACCTTATATAATAGCTAAAATCTATAGCCTATATATAATAACTACTATACTACTATAGGAGCTTTTATTAGCTATAGTAATATTAATAGTAATATTAAGGCTAACGCTAAAGTAAATAAGTAACCTTATAAAGATATACTCTAATAACTAGGCTATAAAGTACACTAGTAGCTAATATAAGACTATTAACTTAAAATTACTATTATTCTATAACCTTTATATCTAGGTAAATATAATATAAGACTACTATAGAGTAGTAATTTAAGTAATACTTTAAGGTAAACTATAAAAGTATTATACCTTTACCTTCTACTAATAGGTAAGTAATTTTAATACTTTAATAGTAAAACTTAAAGAATAATTTAAAAGTAATAAAGTATACTTAGCCTATATTACTAAGCTTTACTATATATTATTTAACTTAGTTACTTATAAAAACTATAGTAAAAATAAGCTTAAGATTCTTAAGTTACTTATTAAAAGGGTTACTAAGCTAGTTAAAGTAACTACCTATAATAGTCTACTAAAAGATAAAGATTATTATAAGTGCCTTATTACCTATTACTATAGTGTTATAGGACAAGTGCCTTATATAGTAGATAGATAGGTAGAACATAGGATTACCCTGTTAGTATATGTCTAGGTATATGCCTAGGGGTATATATCTTATTACCTATTTCTTCTTATAAAGAAAGGCAACCTAAATAAATAACCTACACTAATACTTAGCTTTTGCCCTATGCTATTTGTTTAGCTCCTTGTTATTACTTGCCTTATTCTACTGCTCTACTATTATACTTTACTTTTGCACTATATTACTTTATATTACCTATTATAGCCTTACTCTTCTTATTAGATCTATAATAGCTAGTAGGAAGGCTATATTAAGTAGTAGTATAACTACCTTAATTTACACCTTTAAATTTTTTCTTTACTAAGACGTAGTAAAGATACCCCTCTACCTTAACAAGAATTAGCTTACAGAAACAGTATACTAAGGCTAGTATAACTAGGCTAAATTACTAATATATAGTATATATATATATAGCTTTAGTAGAATCTAAATTATAAAGTCACCTGTTCTTTACCCTAGAGCCTCTATAATAATATATATACCCTTATATTTATAGAATTTAATAGTAATAGACTATTCTATAGGATAATAAACTAGTAAAAAAGGTTTAAACTAGATAATAGTAATATAGTTAATCTATATTAGATAAGATTAAACGTCTAGATAGTAAAAAGAATTATTAAGAACACAAGAAAGTATCTAGACCTATGTATATAGCTTTATATAGAAGCTATAGACATCTTACTATTTTACACTAACTTATAAACCTCTTAGTTATTAAGAAACCTAGTTACACTAGAAAGATATATAACTAAGTAAGTACTAAATACCTCTTAAAAAATCCCTCCCTAATAAACTAACTTAAATAAAGATATTATAATAGGTAAGGCTTTTACCTAAAGTAAAAATATTTTACTAGATAGTATATTACTAAAGTAAATAGAAGGTATAGTAATATTATAGTAATTACTAAAAGGCAAAGGACTAGAAATTATAGGCCTACTAGGCTTCTATGCTAGCCTACTAGTAGATCTTACTAAGAAAAGTAGACTACTAGTTTACCCTTAATAATACTTATACTTTATACTAAGTTAATTCTTAGCTAGCGTAAGTAACTACCTATATAGCCTAGACCTACTAAGGTTTTAGCCTACGTAGGCCTAGATAGTATAAGCCTTTTACTTGTTTTATAAAGTATATTAATAACCTTTACTATTAAGGTAGATAATATATATACTACCTATTACCTAAGGACTACTAGTAGTATACCTATTCCCCTAGGGAAACTACCTAAGTAGACTACTAAGTGCTACTTACCCTCTTATACACTTAACGCTATTAAACTTAATAGTTAGGTAGGCTTAAGCTTTATAAAGACTACTACCTCTAAGTTAACTAGTAATTAACCTTATATAGTAAAGATAAGCGTTAGCCTTAATAATACCCTCTACTATAGGCCTAACGCTGCTAATAGATATAAATAAGTTTATAGTAGCCTTCTTCTGTACTATAGTAGCCTAGATATAGTAGGCTAGGACCTTATTAGGTTCTATAACTAGCCTAGGTTATACACTAGCCTAGATACACCTAATAATAATAGTTAGAATATTCTAGCTAAATATAGACACTAAATATTACTTACTTAACCTTATTTTTTATAACTACTATATAATATATTTATTGTAATATTAACTATTGTAGATAAATATTAGAGTTATTAGGTTAACCCTAATAACTTATCGCTAGTAAATCCTTAGATATTTAGCTATAGATTCTCTAAGGATTTATAGGCAATAAGTTAGTTATTTAACTAACTAACCTATAATAATTATCCTTTTTTTCTTTACGTATAATAAAGAACTATAGTTACCCCTATTATTTATTAATTACTACTAATATATATAGTTAACTATATTAACTTATCCCTTAGTGTTACTAATACTAATTAGTAGTTAACTTTACTATTAACTACAAAGGTTAACTTTACTATCTAAACTATAGATTAGTAAGGTCTATAAGAAGAGGTAATTATTACTAGTTAATTATTTATATGCCTAGAGTAAGTAAGTACTAAAAAACGCCTCTATAAATACCCTTACTATAATAGTTTATACTAATTACCTATTATAATAGGTTAATTAATAGATCTATAACTAGTCCTCTTAACTAGTAGAAACCCTGTTAATTTATATCTATTACATAAGCTTTATTACCTTTAGAGAAGCACTCTTAACTA